CTTTCTGTCTCCCGTCCCGTCCGTAGGAGGAGCCTCACCCCAAAGCAGGTGTCCCATGGCTGTAGGATGGCCGACCGCCGCATCTGGGCAGCCTGCTTCTTGTTCACACCCTCTGGGGGCTCTCTTAAGACCAGGGAAATTCCCCCCTCTTCCCCTTCCCTGCCCGGAGGCCTCCCCTAAAACTCTCTCCCTCTTTGTCCCATCCCTGAACCAGGGTGGGAAAGGGAATAGAATTGGAGCACTGTCCAAGGATGCATGGACACGGGAGTTTCCACCACAGTGCCCCCTGGACTCTCCAAATGAGCAACTTTCCCTCGTCTTTGGTAGGCCGAAAAATGGTCTCCAACGATGTCCATGTCCCCATCCCCGAGACCTGTGAGTATGTTGCCTCACATGGCGAAGGAACTTGGCAGATGTGGGTCAGTGAAGGATCTTGCGTTGGGGAGATTATCCTGATGGGTCCCGTACAATCACAAGGGTTCTCCTAAGGAGGAGAGGGAGGACTGGAGTCAGAGGGAGAAGACGTGAGGGCATAAGCAGAGGCTAAGAGAAGGGAAAAGATGCTGCACCCTGGTGTTGAAGATGGAGGAAGGGGCCACTAGCCAAGGAATGTGGGCGGCCTCCAGCTGTGGGAGGAGGCCAGGACACGGACTCGCCCTGGAGCCTCCGGGAGGAAGGGAGCTGTCCAGCAGCGTGATGTTGGCCTGGTGAACGGGATTTGGCCTGGTGAACGGGATTTGGCCAGCACCGTCAGATAATGACTGTGTTTTACAGTCATTTCCTACAGCAGCACAGGAAATGAATGCACCATTATTTCTCCAGGCCAGTGGTCGGCAGACTCGTTAGTCCACAGAGCCAAATATCAACAGGACAACGATGGAAATTTCTTTTGAGAGCCACATTTTTTAAACTTAAACTTCTTCTAACACCACTTCTTCCAAAATAGACTCGCCCAGGGCATGTTATTTTGTGGAAGAGCCACACTCAAGGGGCCAAAGAGCCACATGTGGCTCTCGAGCTGCGGTTTGCCGACCACTGCTCTAAGCTGACTTTGAATCGGTACAGGCCTCGCCTAACATAATAAGAATCCCATATTTATTTTTATTTATTTGGAGTCAAACATTTATGGATTAGACAAAAGATAAACCCAATTCTGGTCCCGCCTCCAGGCACAGCCACCTGGAGCCTTGCTCTTAGCGTGACACACGCTGGTTCCTCCGCTCGCGTGCTCGGTGCAGCGTGAGCAGAAACAGCGCGGCCGCGTCCTCACTCACCGTGCGGAGTGCCTCTCCGCCAGCCCTTGGGTTTCCATAAATACTCTCCCCGGCAAAGCGGCCTCTCCCAGATGTCCCTCTGCCTTTGTCGCTGCCGCCGGTTCCCTCTGCAGCCTTTCAAACCTGCTGATTTGTGTTTTAGGTTTCAGTGAGGGTCAGGGAGAACATGGGACGTGGCTCGGCACAGCCACCGAGGGAGCTATTTTTAGGGTGCCCCATGCTGCCCGCATCAGCAGTCGTGCGAAGGGATGGGTCTCGGGGTCCGTGGAGGATGCCATCTGCCGTGGCCTGCCCTTCACCCAGCTGGACGCTGGACGGAGGCACAGCAGCTCGGGCGTTTTCCTGGTGGTTCTTAGCCTCCTCCTCCCCCGGGCATCTGGGGCGGCAGAGGCACAGGGGTGGGGCGCACACAGCTGTTTGGGAACGGCAGGTTCTGAGAAGCCTGAGGCTTTCCTGGGGATGGTCAATAGCCGGTGGCCATCTATGGGAAATACCTGGGATGGGAACAGAAATCATGGAGCAGAGACCTGGGAGGAGGGAGTGGCTTCCAGGGGATCTTTTCCAACAGTGGAGTTCTGCCCTGAGGAAACGGAAGCAGTTTCCATGACTTACCTTGTATTAGCTCAGCAAGGATGGGAGCTCAAGTCCCTTGGTGCCATTGGACAGTTTTAGGCTCAAGAACCACAATTTGAGCCTTGCTGGTGTGGTTCAATGGTTGAGTGTCATGGTTTGATTTCCCGATTAGGGCACATGTCCAGGTCGCAGGCTCAATTCCCCATAGGGGGCATGCAGGAGGCAGCTGATCAATTTTTCTTATCATGGATGTTTCTATCTCTCCCTTTTCCTTTCTCTCAGAAATCAATAAAAAAATTGCATATTTTAAAAAGAACCACAGCCAAAACTGATTAGGCTCAGTGGATAGAGCGTCCGTCTGCGGACTGGAAAGTCCCAGGTTAGATTCCGGTCAAGGGCATGTACATTGGTTGCGGGCACAACCCCAGTAGGAGGTGTGCAGGAGGCAGCTGGTTGATGTTTCTCTCTCATCGATGTTTCTAGCTCTCTACCCCTCTCCCTTCCTCTCTGTGGAAAATCAATTAATATATATATATTTATAAAGAACCACATATATATATATATTAAAAAAAAACCCACAATTTGAGAGCTGGGCTGTAGTGTGTAGGTACTTAAGTTAGCAGCGTCCTCTAGGCTCTTGGCTCCGCCCCTTCCCATCGCCCTTGTCTGTGTGTAACAAGTGTGGGAATGCTGAGTGGTCCCGTGCACAGACTCTGCTGGCCAGCCTGCGTCAGGACCCCACTCTCTAGCAGTGCGAGCGTAAACAAATGACACAGGGCCTTTTCCTGCCTGTGCAGTGGGAAAGATGACAATCCCTGTACAACTGGGAGATTGCAAGGATTGCACAGTTCGAGTGCCCCAGGGCCCTGCACGGACTGCGCTCTGCAAATGACTCACCTTCCTGGGACCTCGCACTTCGCTCTGCAGCAAGTAGACCCGGTGCGGAGGTGTTGTACGGTCTACTTAACCTGCTGCCTGTAATGGGATTTTGTTTTCACTTCTTACTGATGTAAACAGCATTTTGGTGACTCGTCTCATAAGTAAGGATTTTCTCTCATCCTTAATTATCTCCCCAGGTCCAATTTCTCAGACTGGAATTGCTGGGTCAGGGAGGGAGGGGTGAGTGTGTTTTTAAGGCTTTTCTTGATAGATGTTGCCAAATTTCTCCCGGAAAAGTACTAGTTCCCCAGCAGCGAGCGAGTGAGCCAATTTCCTTGCATCGCCAGGTTATTAACTTTTAATCAAATGAAGGCCCTCGAAACATAAGAGATATTTCCCTGGGGATAAAGTGTTCCTTGCTTTTGAGCAATAAAAGCTTAAGAGAACCTCAAGGCAAGCTGCTGGGCGTGAAAACAGCGCCCTCTGCTGGTGTCTGCGGATGGAGAGGCGTGAGCTGCCTTAGGAGGTGGTGGTAACTTAATGCCTGAGTGGCTGCAGGTGCCTGGAGCCAGAGGGCAGCATTGTCAGACTTCTAGCCATTTGAACAGCCTCTGGTGGCATTTATTTATTTATTTATTTATTTATTTATTTATTTATTTATTTATTTATTTATTTATTCATTCATTCATTCATTCATTTATTTATTTTTAAAAATATATTTTATTGATTTTTTTACAGAGAGGAAGGGAGAGGGATAGAAAGTCAGAAATATCGAAGAGAGAGAAACATCGATCAGCTGCCTCCTGCACACCCCCCACCGGGGATGTGCCCGAAACCAAAGTACATGCATGCCCTTGACCGGAATCGAACCCGGGACCCTTGAGTCCGCAGGCCGACGCTCTGTCCACTGAGCCAAACCAGTTTCGGCCTCTGGTGGCATTTAGTTCGCGGTCTGGTTGATTTACAGCTGTGCGCCTCAGCTTGCCGGGATGTTCTTATTCCCCGAGGAACACATTTCTGGGTGGCCCCGATTGGGGGGATGCTGCTGACGTTTGTAGACAGAGGCCAGGGCTTCTGCTGAACACGCTTCCATGCACAGGACTGCCCCCGGCCCATTCGCCCGTGGTCAGGTGGGGAAACCCTGTGTTAGAGAATTGCTTAGAAGGTTTCTCTTTCCATGTAGAGGAATATTAATATATACTACCACTGTTAGGACTTACATATTTTTTTCTTCAGGAAACCTGTTTGCTTGAGCGGATAAGATGGAAAATAGTTGACATGGGAGCAGCAAGGAGTTATTTCTTGAGGTGGGAGGGGACAGACAACCTGTAACAATGTCAGGAGCACTAATAAGGGGGGGAGTTTTCCCCCCCGATGATGTGACTTGGCTGAACCTGCCTCGGATTCCTGCGGCTTCCCCTGGACAGCCTCGTCCGCTAAAAATAGCGCTTTATTTGACATTTCCCCCCGGATCTCACGGGCCCCAGTGTTTTCGTGCCGTTTATAATTAATTGTGCTTTTTCGTGCCGGTGCAGAATTACCATCTGTGGCTGCCGTTTGCGCCTCCCTCCCCCACGCCCAGGCGGGTGCTGATTCAGGCCTTGTTTCCCAGATGGGGAGGCAGGGGCCCTCGGGGGCAGTCTCAGAGAAGGGTGTGCCCGAAGGGGAAGCATGACAGGAATTTCGGGAAAATCAAACTCTCCCCATGTGCTGCGAGGGAGGGTCTCTTGCACGGGTGTTACCCACACCCATTAAAAACGCTCTGTCGTTCCATTGTGTTGAGCCTCGCTGCGCTCTGAAATCCTCGTGTGTGTGTCTTGAAACAATTATCCTGCATGGCCTCAGGAGCCGTCCTAAAGAATGCTCACAGGGTTATTTTTGCCAGAAGAGGGAAAAGGAACTGCAGCCTTTTCCCTACCTATCGGATGCTATTTTGGTCATCTTCCTGGGGAAGTGTTTTTTCAAACTGTATGTCATTGATGTATTAGTGGGTGGTTAAAATCAATTTCTGGGTCACACTTAGCATTTTAAAAACCCAGAATAAAAGACATTTGAGGGTATTGGATACAGTAAAGCTAACTTCTGTTTGGTGATTGTATAAATGAGGTCACCGTACATACATGTGTACACGTGTGCGTGAGCGTGGACACACACCTGCTGGGTGAGAGGTCGGAACGGCGGTGGCTTGGCTTTCACGACGTGATGGACACTCGCTGGTTTGTAAAGCCTTCCCTTGAACCACCTCCGTCCTCAGCGCTGCCTCTTCTCTTCCAGGCGGAACCCGGGAGATCGGCTCCGCCCTCACCCGGATGTGCATGCGGCACCGGAGCATCGAGGCCAAGCTGAGGCAGTTTTCGAGGTGAGGAGCCCAGTCCCCCTCCCAGTCCCCTCAGCTGCGAGTCGGGGTTCAGGAGGTGGTGTGACGTGGCAGGACTGGCCGTCAGCAGCGCTGGTTTCCCCGTGGCATGTCAGCCTCCCCAGCCCGTTGCCCATCACAGCCCATCACGGCCCATCACGGCCCATCACGGCCCATCACAGCCCATCGCCCATCGCAGCCCAGCACTCTGCTCGCTGCTCGGACACGGGCTCGCTGGGCATCTGCTGAGCCGGGCCCTGGTCAGCCAGAGGGCCCAGGTCCCTGTAGGGTCGGCTCTGTTCCTGTGTGTCTCCCCTCACCCCCTCGGTCAGGGGGAGGAGCCCCGACCCCCTCCCCACAGGAGTGTCTTGAAGAGGAGCTGGCGCTGGGGAGGGCGGCTGCCTGTGGTCCCTGCGCACTGCCTCCTGACCCCCCTGCTGAGCGAAGCGGGAGCTCTGAGCCCTTCATGCCATCCGCCTCTGTCTGTCTGCCTGGCCTCCCGAGCGGCAGGAATGGCAGCCACTGGCATGGGGACGTAGGCCACCGGTGTTCCAATGGGAACGGACATTCTCCCGGGCCCAGCAGCACGACTCGGCGGGTCTGCCCGGGTCCGCTTTGTGCGGCGCACCCTTTACAGAGGGGCCACTGAGGCGAGATGGCCCTGGCACGTGGCAGGCCCCCGGGAGGCCACAGGACACAGCAGGAAGCACCACGGCCACGTGCTCATTGGCGCGGCCGGCTGTGACCTCAGCTGTGACCTCAGCCCCTGTGTGGTGGGGATGGCCTTTCTGAGGGGATTCGTGAACATGGAGAAGGTTCCGCGTGCACAGCAGGGAGCCGAGGGGCAGCAGGGGATGAGGCCCAGCTTCTCTCCCTCCGGCCCCGCCCCTGCTAGAGAGTGCTCCCCACCCCGCACGGTGCCTCCTCTCCTGACAGTTGTTTTAGTCTGGGCCGGTCTTGGGGTGCCTCGCCCCGTTTTAGGGATGAGGAGATGCCGCTTCCACCGCCACTGTGTACTGAGCAGCTGCTGCGTGCTGGGCACCGCCTTAGGGGCATGGGGCCACGTGGTGAACAGGACCGCGTGCTGCTGTCCCGGAGCTTACACGCCAGGCACTCAGTCCTGCCGTGACGTCCGGCGGTGGCCATTGGCACGGGGAGAAGTACACGGTGGGGGAGTGGCCGCTGCTGGCACAGGTGCTTAGTTAGGGGGCGCTCCGTTCAGAAGGAAGGTTTGAGCAGAGACCTGGGAAAAGAAGGGCGTGAGCTGCGCTGCCGGCTGGAGGAGGTGATGAGGGAGCAGCTCCTGAGCCGTGCCCACCAAGGCGGTTCCAGCAGCTGATGGGCATCGTCTGCTTTTTCTACAGCAGCTCTGTCGTGTGGGGGTGGGCGGTTTTCCTCCCATTGCACAGATAAAATGCTTGACTCATGTGATTCCTCTGTGTGGGGAGCTGCTCTCCATGGGTGCCCACGGGCTGATGTCCCTGGAGATACCTGCACCCCCGTCCTCAAGGCTCCCATCCTCAGCCCACATTCATGACTCAAAATCCTGTATGTGCATCAGAATCTCATGGGTCTCATACACACACACACACACACACACACACACACACACACACTAGAGGCCCAGAGCATGTATTTGTGCACCAGTGGGGTCCCTTGGCTTGACCTGCAGGGATTGGGCTGAAACCAGCTCTCTGATATCCCCCATGGGGTCCCAGATTGCGAGAGGGTGCAGGCCAGGCCCGAGAGACCTCACTGGTGCACAATCAGGGCCGTGAGGGGCTGCAGGAGGGCTCCAGGGCATGTCCAGCCCATCTCACCCAGTCCCGATCAGTTGGACCCCAGCAGCAAACTAATCTACCAGTCAGAGCATCTGCCACCTGGTGGTCAGTTTGCATCATAGCCACTGATCAAATGGTCCAATGAACAGTAGAACACTTAGCATAGTAGGTGTTTATCATATAGAATATACATACATATATATGTATATATATATTTCAGAGAGGGAGGAAGAAGGAGAGAAGGAGAGAACCATTGATTGGCTGCCTCCTGCATGCCCCCTACTGGGGATCAAGCCCACAACCTGGGCATGTGCCTTTGGGCAGAACCCGGAATCTTGCAGTCTGCAGGCTGACGCTCTATCCATTGAGCCAAACCAGTTAGGGCCACATGGGTCTTTTTAAAAATAGTCATGGAGGGGCCTCACCCTCAGAGTTCCATGAGCTGGGCGGGGAGGCCCAGGGATCATCACCTCTGACAGCAGCCAGAGAGAGACCCACTGTACACAACGCTGCTTGTTATAAACATAAACATAAACATACACATAAACATACATAGGATGGGGAGAGAAGTCGTTTCTATCAGTCACACGTGCACTGCTTCACATGTGCGAAGCATCCCGAAAACAAGTTTGTTGCACGGCGGGGATTTGAATGTGAGCTTGGGTGTAGGATGCCGCCTTGTTTTGCTTCGGCTAACGGTTTGGGTGTTTTTTGACAACCAAGGATTCAGTCTTGACAACAGAACTATAGCTGTTTAATTTCTCCCTTTCCTTCCCTTTTGGTAAAAGTGCTTTGATCGATTGTCTGATAAACCCACTTCAAGAACAGATGGAAGAATGGAAGAAAGTGGCCAACCAGCTGGATAAAGACCACGCGAAAGGTACGGGCGCGCTGTCCGCTGGGGAGCTGGTGCCGCTGCTGGGTTTCCGGGTGTCCCCAAGAGCCCCTCTGTCCCTGCGCGTCCTGCGGGACTTTCAGGGTTGGAAGATGAGGAGTCGAAAGTGATCCGGCAGCAGGGCCCAGTGCTTGAGTTTTGGCACAAACCGACTCCAGCAGCCGCCAGCCTGGTCGCTCTGTGGCATGAGTTGTGATTCCCTGAATTAAGAGTGAATGGAAGCCCAGCTGGTGTGGCTGGTGGCTGAGCTGTTGATCTATGAACCAGAAGGTCACTGTTGTATTCCAGCTCGGGGCATAAGCCCAGGTTTAGGGCTTGATCCCCAGTAGGGGGCATGCAGGAGGCAGCCAATCAATGATTCTCATCATTGATGTTTCTGTCTCCTTGTTTCTTCCTCTCTCTGAAATCAACTCTTCAAAAAAGAAAAGTGAATTGTAATGTCAGGCTTAACAGCCAGTGGTTCATGCTTACGGCATGGCAGCTCATTTAAAAACCACACCTTTACTGACGTGAGCTAATGGGGTCTCCTGCCCAGAAATGGCCAACGCAGCACCTCATGTGCCCGCCTTTGGGGTCAGAGTGGTCCAGACAGAACCACCCTGCCCTGTCGGGTCTTCCAGAGCCAGAGGGCGGGTGCTGGCCGGGTGGAAGGAGCAGGAGACATTCTCCAAGGGGCACAGCCTGAGGGAGGCACGTGGGCAGCTCCGAGGGCACACACCTGGGGAAGGGCTGCTGGCAGGCAGTTGTGAGAGCATTCAAAGGCGGGCTCAGTGGGCTTTGGGCGGGGAAGGGGAGCGTGGGGAATGAGGGAGGAAACTGGTCGTTGGCGCTGGGTTGAATACAGGGGCAGTGGAGGAGAGAAGTGCCGAGGGGACTCTTATTTAGTTACAGTAGGTCCTCAGGTTCCATTCTTACGGCGATGTAATGCGATTTTCGCCCTGAGTTGGAACCCACCTCCATAAGCACCTACATCACTCACATGGAGCACGCACACAGCAGCAATGAAGTGAGACAGTAAAAAACACTTAAAAGAAAGATAACAATTTCTGACCTTGTGGTAAATAAATAATAAAAAACATAAAGCACATATGCACATACGTTGAAATGACAGAACTTTTTTTTAAATAAATAAATTGGAGATGGCAACATAACCACGAAACGATGTTAAATCGAATCCAATGTAACCCGGGGACTGCCTGTATTTATTTGTTTGTTTATTTAAAATATATTTTTATTGATTTAAGAGAGGAAGGGAAAGGGGGAGAGAGAAATATCAATAATGAGAGAGAATCATTGATCGGCTGCCTCCTGCATGCCCCACACAGGGATGTACCCTAACCAGGAATTGAATTGTTACCTCCTGGTTCATAGATCAATGCTCACCCACTGAGCCACGCTGCTGGGCAAGAGGTGACTTATTTTAGATGCCCACGCCTGGGGGAGATTAGCAGCAGAAATGGGGCATCCAGGAGAGGGCGTGGACCGAGGGCAGAGGAGGGGGTTGGTGGGGGCCGGAGGGACATGGTGGGCTGCCCCTGGGTGTCCGTAGTGTCTGGCCTCTGTGTTCGTGTGAGAGAGGCAGCTGGGCCTCTGCCAGTTTCCCCGTGGTCTTGGTTCTGCTGCTGTGCCAGCTTCTTTTGCCTGCACTGTAACATCTGGCCAGCGTCTTGCCATGTGGGTCCTTTTAAAGGAGGTGTAGGCCTTAGGAAAGTGGATAACATTGAAAATATTTCCTGATACTTGAGCTGAGAAAATGCAAATTTTCATTTTCATTTTTTAAAAAAAATTTTTATTGGTTTCAGAGAGGAAGAGAGAGAGAGAGAGAGAGAAAGAGAGAGAGAGAGAGAGAGAGAGAGAGAGAGAGAGAGAGAGAGAGAAAGACAGAGAGAGAGAGGAACATCAATGATGAGAGAGAATCATTGATTGGCTGCCTCCTGCACACCCCAGTTATGTGCTCTGACCAGAATCAAACTTTTTGATGAGCTTTTGGTTCGTAAGTCGAGGCTCAACCGAGGAGTCATGCCCGGCAAGGCTGAATTTCCCATTTTCAGTAAAATTTTCCCAAATGCCGTCTCTTGAGCAGCTGATATGAATGAATACTTTTGGGAAAAACCTCGGTGTATCTTGTCATGTTAATAACATCCCCTGCTCTAAAACATCATCGTGAGATTCTTATCACACGGAATTCCGGTGAAGCTATTTATTATGCACCACAGTTTACGCTCTCTGTGATGAAAGTAGCAGCTGTTCAAAAATATTTTCTGTTGAGCAAAGTGGTAAAGTGATTCAATTATTCTGCTTCCTCTTAGAATATAAAAAAGCTCGCCAAGAGATAAAGAAGAAGTCCTCAGATACACTGAAACTGCAGAAGAAAGCAAAGAAAGGTAACTGCGAATTCTGTAGTTAATTGTATCACTTCGGGGGAAAAGTGCATGCACTTGATTTGTCTTTGAAGCAGAGAGTTCGACAGCTCCCTGGGACAGCTCCGGAGAGCAGGCGGAGCAGAGAGGCTGCACCTGAGTTCAGTTCTCGGGCAGACTCTCCGTTCACTTCCGGCCCCTGCAAAGCTGTCCTTGACTTTCCCCTCTCCACACCTTAGTCTTCAAAATCGGACAGTTGCCATGCCTACTGTACTTTAGCATGAAGCCTATACATTTCTTGGGATCATGCACAAAAGCCTTTATGCAGATGTTCTGTTCTAACTATTACAGAAACGATGTCATCTTCTCCGAAACCCTTTATTAAGCCTCGTGAGTGTTAGAAATGGCTGTTCTGGGAGCCAGAAGGCATTGCTGAAAGGGAGCTTTTTCATGGGGTTCGTGGGGGTGGGGGCTTCGGAAGGAAACGCAGAGCATCACGGTGCCCTCCTGCAGCTCCCTCGCCCTCGCCGTCCACACACCAGTCGCTGTGGGAACCGGGACCCAGCTTTGCTCTTGGGCCCAGACTGGGAGTCTGAGGAGCCAGCTCTGGCTGCATCCACTTTGTCCTGTGGTACCAAGACCTAAAGTGCAGGCTCTCTCCTGAACTTGAGAAGGTGACATTCCGTCCAGACTGTTCTTGACACCGTGCCTTTTAATGTGCTGCATCACAGCCCATACAGCGGACTCTCCCCTCAGGCTGCTCTGTGGCTCACAATTATCGCTTATTTGGGACAATGATCTTTTAAGGTAGAAAGCCCCAAAACCAAAGTTCCTCTTTCCTAAACAGTTTGTTTTTTTTTAATTAAAAGAAAATACACTTGGAGAGGTGGAATGGCTTGTGGAAGAGAGGTGAGGACAGAACAAGGTTTTGACATTTCTAAGAAATGCACTCTGAGGTGCTGGCGCGTCCAGTGAGCACAGTCGGACCTTCAGGGAAGCCTGGCAGGTTGATGGCCGTGCCACACGAAGAGACGTTTCTGGCATTGGACTCGCCGGGCACGGGCTCAGGCTGCCCTGGGAGGCGGGGGCGCTTCCCGGCAAGGCGCCCGGCAGAAAGACTCGGGGGCCTCGGGGCTGGCCTGTGGGACGCGGAGGGACACTCTGGTCCCGGGACTTGGGAATAACTGGCACTTAGTATGCGGTCTCTCAGGGTCCGTGGACCTGAAGGTTGAGAGGATGGAGACTGTGACCTGAAGCAGCCGACATTCCATCCATCCCCGCCACGTAGCTGGGGTCTCAGGCCCCATGTCCTCTCCACATTAGGTGGCCGAGGTGACGTCTACAGGCAAGGCAGATCAGTAGCTTGGGATGTTCTGGATGATTTTCTAGTTACTCCAGAAAAGAGCTGTTTACGTCTTTCCTTTGTAAACAGCTTTTTTTTTTCTAATATGTGTTTGCATTATTTTTACCGAGTCTTGATACTTGTGTGTGTCCGGGGTGAGTGGAGCCTTGGGTGAGGGACCAGACTTGTCATTCTGGGTGGACGTGTGATGGGGTGCTCCTGCGGCCCCAGAACGGACTAGGAACGCTGTGCGTTTCGGGCCGGGAGAAATCCGGTTATCCGCGGCTCCCAGTGCGTTTGGTCTGGTTAGCCGCAGCTCCCCGGAGCCTCTCCGTCCGTTAAGTCTCCTTAAGGGGCAGCTGCCTGGCCTGTTCGCTTACGAAGTGCTGTGGTGCCTCTGAGAGTCACACCAGGTGTTAGGACAGACTTCCTTTGAGAGACCCGGAATGTCTTAATAACCTCACCCTTGAGCCTGACATTTAAATAGTCACATCTGTCATTTATCAGCAGCAGCAGCAAAATTAATAGCATATATGGACTCACAGAGTTCCAGACTAGCATATTAGTTGTCTTTATACTACAATGTTTAATTCTTTATTTAAATTTTTTTTTTTTTTTCACTTCACCCCAGCTCAAACTTTGTGTCATAGGTTTTTCCTAGTGACTCTTCACGTTATGACATGTTACCCTTGAAAGGGTTTCTTGGTCAAGCATCTTCATTGGCTTCTTTGGGAATGTAGCCTTCATCTCTCTTCTGAAGAGCCTTGCTGTGTTGCTGGGCTGATGGTTCCTGGCTGGGAGGGCTTCTGTGGGGAGGAGAAGGGAAGAACATCAGAGGGTCAGGGCTTGTGGCCGTGTGGTCTTGGGGGTGGGGGTTGAGTCGGGGGCTTCCTCCTGCGGTAAAATCCGGTGGCTGCCTTGGCCTGTTGGACACGCAAAAGGGAGGTAAGACTGCTGCTCAAACACCAGTTTGACGGTATCATTTTCCTTTTTGTGCCAATTGTGTATCCTGCACTTTCTCACCGTGTCCCCCGCCAGTGGAAGTTCTCGGTAAGTCTACTATCCAACCTCCGGTGGCCGGTCACGGTGTGGTCCTTGCTGTGGGCTTGTCCAGGCCTATGCCAGTGGCCCAGGCTCTCCTACCAGCTCAGAACAATCAGCGGTGCCTACTTAATTCTCCATAACTTCAAGGAAATTGTGTGTGCGTGTGTTTCGATCACTTTCTTCCTTTCATGTTTGGTACTTGAATGGATTAGCACGACATTCAAAGAGCTTTTGAATCAACGTAATCTAATTTAGACTCATGGAAAGAAGAAATACAGAGTGATTTAAACCCTCCTTTCCCCAGGAAATAAACATCTTTATACATACATATGTATCTAAGAATACATATATGTGTGTGCGTGTGTGTATTTATACCACAAACGAAACCTGTAGAGCCACATTCAGTAACTCCCCTATAGTAATTTCCAAATCAGATTTGGTTGTATTAATGTGGCAAAGTATCTTTTACTTTGTCTCACTTTGTCTCCCCAGAACTAGAAAGTTCTGTCCCAAAACTTAGAATTCATTTTTAAAAAAGAATAAATACCAAAGTATTTCTTATTCCAGCAGAGTTTGTGGAATGGCTCACTTCAAAGGTATCGGATGCTCAAATCCAATAATCAGAATGATTCTTCTTGATTGAATGTTGGGTGATTTTGCTACTAAACCTTCAAATTGTTCTTGGGCGTCTCGGGGCTGTCCGTCTGTCTCGGAAGGCCGGTCTGCGAGGTGTCCATGTGTCTGAGCATTCGCATCGGGCAGCTCCCAAGGGGGTTTGGGTGGGATTCTGTCACCGACGATGACAAACCCGCACCACACGGATCTCCCCTGACAGGTGGGGGGTACAGCTCTGCCTCGACTTCCCCTCATGGTGACGGGGGACTGCTGCTTCCCCAGCTTTATGAGTGAGGATCCTCCCCAGGCCCCATGCTGTGCTGGGAATCAGCGGCCAGGGCTGAGGGTCCCCGGAGGGCGGTGAGGCGTGCTCCGTGCTCGGGATACATGTCATGACCGTAGCCTTGACCGTTGGACGGGTATGTGCTGGCGCTTCGTGCATTCACAGCGCTGGGCAGCCGTTCCCACCACCTCATTGCAGAGCCTTGCATCACCCCAAAAGACGCCCCAGCCATCGCCCCATTCCCTGTGCCCCAGCCCCTGGCTGAGGGGAGCTGGGAGGTCGGGCGGTGGTCAGAGACCTGGCCCAGGGGCGAATGGCTTCGGTCTCTTCAGGTGCAGGACTGGGCGGAGGTGAGCAGGGACCCAATCGGGAAAGACTTGACTTCGGGGACAGTGGGGAAGGCCTAGGAGACTTCCTGGTTTCTGGAGAGTCCAGCTGTGATGGTGTCCGTTTGGATCCGACAGGCCGTGTCTGTTTGGATCAGTGGCCCAGCTGGACATGTTAGCGAGTGGCTTTTGTTCAGGGGAGAGGTGCCCGTGGCACAGGGATGGGAGGTGATCGGGTTCGAGAGCTGTTTGGGAGAAAGTAAGTGAAGGGAGTGGGTGTCTGGATCCGGCGACTGGGTGGAGGGTGGGAGGGTTCTCTACCGCAGAGGAGGGGCCTTCAGGTGATGGAGGTGACAGGAGGTGACCGTGTGAGCCACAGGTCGCCACGGGGTGGTGTCTGTGGTTCTCTGAGCTATCTCCTCTCAATCTTCGCTTTGACGGACAGCTGCCTGCTCAGCCCCAGCGAATCTCAATGACAAAATGCCTATCTTTAGGGGAAGGGTTATGGGGCCTCGAACTGAATGCTCGTTTTTTAAAAACCCACCATACTCTGCGGTGCCAGGGACACCGTGTGGCCCGATGGCTCTGACACTCACCCAGCGGCCCCCGCGTGCTGAGTGCGTCATAGGAGTGAGGCTGTTTGGCCTCAGGGGCCGGGTGAGCTGTAGGAACTCAGTACTGTCCACAGCGCACAGAGGAGAACAGGCCCAGCGTGTTGGCAGAATAGCAAATTGAGTTTGAAAGTGTTTAAATCAAAAGCCTCCAGTCTGTCTTTCTGTTCACGTTGGGGAATCGGCCCGGTACCGTTGCCGGCCTTTGGAGAGACCTATGGATGGGTAATAGGAGCCGCCTTCCATTGGAAAAGGGGATTTTTCATTCCAGAACCGAATCCCCAGCTCACCCTGCATGCCCGTGTCTGTACTTACATCCCATTTGTCACCGGCTCGAAGATGCCATCCACTGTCAGACGCACCATTATTTTCTGAGCCACTGCTGGTTAAACTGCAGCGACACGCCATTACTGTAGGACACAGCTTGATTTGTGAGGTGCAAAGCTGGGGAAGGGGCCTGTTAGAGTGAAATACGGTGACAGCTGTGTCAGGGCAGATGGAAGTCATTTTGTGGGGTTCTAGCGGCTTCCTCAGACACCCGTCCCCGGAAAACAAATGGCTTTGGATGCTTCCTGACAGCGATCTTGGCCGGTGCGGCCTGGGTTCCTTCTGCGCGGGGAAGCCCTCCCCCTGAGCCTGGCGTCTGCCTGGTCCAGCGGGAGGTTCAGGTGAGGGCTGCAGTGTGTGTGGGGAGAGGCTGGAGGTCCCACCTCCCGCTGATGCTCCGACTGGCTTTTTAGTTGGGCTGTCATGGACGGACGTGGGCCACTCAGCTCCTGGCATGTTTGTTGTGAGCGTGAAGGGGTCTCTGAACAAGAAAGACATCCCCAGCTTGGAGGCAGCCACGTTGCCTCCCTCAGCTCAGTTTCCCCCTTTGTTCAAAGAAGGGCATTAATTCCTGCCTTGAACGTTTTGTAAAAACTAGAGGCCTGGTGCATGAAATTCCTGCACTCAGGGAATGGGCCCTCAGCTATCCTGTGCCCTCTCCCGGTCTGGAGCCCTCGGGGGATGTCCGACTGACGGCTTAGGCCTGTTCCCCACAGGCAGTTAGACATCCTTAGCGCTGCTGTGGAGGCGGGAGAGGTTCCCACCACCACCGCTGAGCTCGTGAGCCATGAGCCCGGCTTCTGGCTGAGCAGTGCTCCCCCTGCAGGAGCCCACTGACCACCAGGGAGCAGCTTCTGCGTTGAGCATCTGCCCCCAGGTGGTCAGTGCGTGTCATAGCAACCGGTTGTTCCACCATTTAGTAGATTTGCATATTGGCCTTTTATTATATAGGAATAAAGAAAATACAGAGTAAATGATGGGAAGATATGGGACCTTCATGCTACTCCAGGAAGGTCTGTGAACTCTCCCTACTTAGTTAACAGACAGCCGCCAAACCCCCTTCCTCTCAGGGAGCCATGCCTAGCACCTGCCCATTCCTAGGGCATTGCCCCAGGAACATTTCTTGGGAAAAGAGAGTCATGTGACTTCCCCTGGGGAGCAGAGGGCTCCTGGCTTTTGTGCCAGCAGCACCGAGACCTGGAAACCGGCAGAAGGAGAACATTCCCAAGACCCAGGTGGCTCAGACCGCACAGGCCGGGTCACGAGCAGGAGTTTGATCTGCAGAGCCCACGGGAGACGGCCCCTCCCTCCTTTCGGTGGGATCCGCTGGTTTTATGGTCTTAGACCATTTAAGGCCGAGGCCATGGAGGACGGTGAGCAAACACAGGGGGAGCTGTTCTATCCCCGCCTCCGTCACCTGCAGGCAGGTGTGCTGGGCCAGAAGGTCCGGCGGGATCGGTGAAGAGACTGATGTCACTCAGAGAACCAGAGAGAGGAAGGTGGACTGACTAGTAGTCCTGGGGAGTGTTGTGAACGTTGCATAAAGGGACCTTCTGAGCTCACGTGGCCGAATCCTAATTGGGAGAGGGTTTGAGGAGGGTTTTTCTGAGGATGGAGCAGGGTGAGTGGCCAGGCGGGTGGGGAGGAGGGAGAGCGTCTGTGAAGGTGGATGAAGGAGAGGGAAGGGAGGGGGTGAGGGGCTCGAGGCCCTGAGTGGACCGGCTGACCCGTGCATGCCTGGCAGGCTGGCCGTGTTAAGGACATGGAACTTTTCTTGAACGAAACAGGAGCTGTTGACAAGAAGTTTAATGCTTACATTTTTAAAGGCATCGGGGCTGCGATCTAAACGCAGTCAGGGTGACAGAGGAGGGCCTTGCAGCCGTCCAGTGATGGTGGTGACAGGCGAAAGGGGTGGACAGAGAGAGCCCGTGTGGGCGGGAGCTGGCGCAGCCGGGGCGTGTGCGGAGGTGTTGGGGGGGGGGGGGTATGGAGGGGAATGAACAGGACATCCACAGGCCCTGACCTGTGGGCCTGCAAAGACCGTGGTGTCTGAGGCCCGTGCGTCCGCCCTGGGCATGGCATCACTGCCTCCACGGCTGCTTTTCACAAACACGGTTGCACGTTGTGTCGGTGAAGTTAAGAAGTAAACATTGTGTTCAGGTTCCGACACCTCCCGGGTAGAAATGTACTCACTGCAGCTGTAATTACAACAATCGCGACAGATTACACCTAGTCTAGAACACCGCAGCGTGGACGTCCTGTGATTATAGCCGTGCCTGTTCAAAGTGAGTCTTTGTAATTATAGAGTCCTGTGCGTGAGATTAGATAACTCTTGGTTCTGGTCCCTTTGCTTTTCGCTGTAAGTATATTTTTAAAGCTCAGTCCTATTCGTTACACATAGACCTGTGCCTTCTAACTCTGGAAGTGGGGAAGCTCACGCACTGGCTGCCCAGGGAGTGACCTCGTTCCCTCTCCTGGTCGGGTTCACAGTAGCCGCACCCCTGCCCCAGGGCCCCGTCCCTGTGTGTCACCTAGGGCGGCAGACTTTCCCCCAGGCCCGATGTGAAGCCTGTCATGGAGGTGTTGCCCTGCAGTTGCAGCAGGAGTGGGCCTCGTCGCTGTGTAAATGACGGGGTGTGGCTGTGTTCTGATAAAACTTTATTTATAAAGACAGTTTGCCGAGTGCGTTCTAGAATTGTTTCAAAGGTTTTAACACTCTGTTTTGAACTCGAGAAGTGGTTGCCTCTGCAGTGGGGTCTGTGGACCCGGCTGGACACGGACCAGCTCAGCATCGACCCCACCTTCAGTTTCTCGTGGGTGGGCGGGCTGAGACCCCTGGATTACCGGCTTGTTTCACGGGAAGGGCATTGAGAGTTCCCCCTGGGGTCTCGCTGACAGCCGGGGCGTTGGGCTGGCGCGGGGCTGACGCTGGCCACCCCTGCTTCCTGGCAAACTCCTGTGCAGACAGAGGCTCTTCGCTGGAGGTCGGCCCAGCAGAGCCAGCTCGGCCCATTTTGGGGGACATCCACAGGCCCTCGCCTTGTTCGCCCCGTGGGCTGCTCAGACTGTGCCCAGAGGAAGGAGTCCGTCTGGCTGCCACGTCCTGGGCTTTTGTTGGCTCCGAGGGGCCGCCCGAGGCAAGAGGGCAGGGCAGGAGTCGCCACCCGGGAGCCCTCCTCGCAGGGCCGGGCCGGGATCACCGGGACTTGGGAGTGGCTGGTCAGACAGCAGCCACCTAAGTCCGCTCTGGGTATCACTACGTGACTGTGGAGTCTGGGGGAGTGTGGCTCCGGGAGCCGTCTCAGCACCGCCCGGCCTGTCCGCAGGGAGGGGCGACATCCAGCCGCAGCTGGACAGCGCGCTCCAGGACGTCAACGACAAGTACCTGCTGCTGGAGGAGACGGAGAAGCAGGCGGTGCGCCGGGCGCTGATCGAGGAGCGCGGCCGCTTCTGCACCTTCATCTCCATGCTGCGGCCGGTGATCGTAAGTGGGGGGGGGGGGGGGGGGGGGCATGCCGAGGCGCCGGGAATCACATGGGAGGGACCAGGGCTTCTGTGCACGATGCTGCTGCCCGCGGCCCACGGCCCACGGCTCTGCTGTTCGGAGCACCAGCTGCTGCACTTACTTTTTCTCCCTGAGTCAAGAGAGTGGTTCTCAAAGTGTGTTCCCCAGGCCGGCGGCGTCACCTGGGAACTGGTTGGAAAAGCACATTCTCTGGCCCCGCTCTGGGGGTGGGGCCCGGTCACCGGCGCTGCAAACAGGCTCCCAGGGACTGGGTGACCCCCTGGCCAAGCTGCATACCAAGGAGTGGCCGTGAGATCAATACGGGCAGAGCCTCCACACGTCAAATAGGCCTGTTTTTTTCTTTCTATAAAATATATTTTTATTGACTAGAGAGGAAAAGGAAGGGGGAGAGAAACATTGATGTGAGCGGCATCCATCAGCTGCTTCCTATACGCTCCCTCTTGGGGATTGAGCCCACAGCCCGGCATGTACTGGGTATCGAACAGGTGACCTTTGGGTGCACAGGGTATCCCAGGGACCAGAGGCTCATGTTTAAAGGAAATGAGGGCCGGGGGCTGACCTGTGAGAAGACACCAGCAGCCCATCCAGGAGCTGCGTCCCACACCCTGTGAGGCAGACCTAGGGGCTCACTGTGGCCTCGGTGCACCCCTGTCCAAGGCACACAGGCCACCCGATGGTGGCAGACCTTCTTTTCCCAAAAGAAAGGCTGGGGAGCCTTCAGCAGAGATGGCCCAGTCCCGGGGGCCTGTCAGCCAGGGGCCCTGATGAAGGCGGCCGGGCGGGGACGATGACGGGACCCCGGCTGATGACGTGCTGCCCCCCCCCCCCGCAGGAGGAAGAGATCTCCATGCTGGGGGAGATTACGCACCTGCAGACCATCTCTGAAGACCTGAAGAGCCTGACCATGGACCCCCACAAGCTGCCCTCCTCCAGTGAGCAGGTAGGCAGGTGGCAGGCGCTCCCGGTCCTGAGGGTCCCGTGAGGCAGGATCCCTCCCTCCGAGCCACAGTCACGCCTCACAGTGAGGTCACAGCCCCTCTGCCGGCCGTGCAGAGCCCTGTGTGCTCGGGGACACGGCCTTCCTCGGCTCCTCTTCCCCAACGGCCCCTCTGACGGGACACTTGGCGCTGGGAACTGTCCCTGAGCCAGCCTCACCCAGCCAGTTGGTGGCAGGACTGGGATTTGAACCAAGCAGTCTGTTTCCAGAGCCTATGCTCGTTAAAAAACACATTTCTATGGACTGCCGAGAGGAAGGGAGAGGGAGAGAGATGGAAACATTAGTGAGAGAGAGAATCGTGGATCGGCTGCCTCCTGCACCCCCACACTGAGGAGGGAGCCCACAGCCCGGGCGTGGGCCCTGACTGGGAATTGAACCCTGACCTCCTCAATCACTGAGCCACGCCGGGTGGGCCAGAGCCTGTGCTCTTGGCCTCTGTGTCCATCCACCCTTAGACGCAGGCTCACGGCATGGGTGGATTTTGGCCGTCATGAGAGCCATTCTAAGTAATGCGTGAGGGTCTCTCTTGGTTTTGGTTCCCGTGACAGTCACACTGGGTCAAGCGCCCAGCTCTGGGGGTGGGACCCCGTCACCTGTGCTTTACACCAGCTCCCGAGGGACTGGGTGACCCCCTGGCCAAGCAGCATACCAAGGAGTGGCCGTGAGATTAATAGTCAAATAGGCTTGTTTTTCCTTTTTATAAAATATGTTTTTATTGATGAGAGAAAGAGAGAGAGGGAGAGGAAGGAAGAGGGGGAGAAACGTTGATGTGAGCAGCATCCATCGGCTGTTTCCTGGACGCCCCCCCCCTCCTGAGGACTTATTTAGCCACCATGGTGGGGCCTGGTGTCCGTGGCATGAGACCAAGTGGGAAGAGATGTGTCAGGGAAACAGCCAGCGGATGAATCATATCGTGGCTTTTGGCCTTTGTATCAGATTCTCGTCCCCTTGGAGAGCCAGCTCAGAGGCAAAGTGGAGAGCTTCCATCCTATGAAATTTCTCTTTGAGACCTCAGCATGCATTCCCTCTCAGGAACAGACATTACAGAGCACCTTCCGTGCGAACCAAAGGCAGACCTTCCACTCCAGTAGCTTGCAAGGGGTGGCGGGGGGGGGGGGGGGGGGGCACACACAGACGTAGAGGTAGCTGTGAAAGAAAAGAACTCGTTTGCTCTGGACTCTGGCACGTTCTACTATAGCGAATCCTGGGCAGATAGGCACGAGGGACCACTGAGCTCTAATGGCCACAACGCAGGACCAGCAAACCCTGCGACCGCTGTGGTCTGTGGTGCTTTAGGACGAAAACCCCGCCAGTTCTCGCCGTGGGCGCAAACGGCTCTTGTAACGTGTTGATCGGTCACCGTGCGTCTCCCTCCCTCCTTCTTGCTGATATTTCAGCCCCCACCATTAGTTATACGGCTGCTCGCCTCAGAGAAAGGATGGTGACGCCAATGGGGTGGTAGTGTGTGATCCCCACCCTCGGCGGTGCCAGCACTTGGATGTGACGGGTTTTAAGAGGTGGCGGGCTCACCCGCCTGGCTCTGTCCCCGCAGGTGATCCTGGACCTGAAGGGCTCTGACTACAGCTGGTCCTACCAGACGCCGCCCTCGTCCCCCAGCACCACCATGTCCCGCAAGTCCAGTGTCTGCAGGTAAGAGGAGCCAGGCTCCGCCCGGCGCTGAGGACAATGCTGCTTTTTCTTATTCTTTTAAACATTTTTAAAAAATACGTTTTTATTGACGTCAGAGAGGAAGGGAGAAGGAGAGAGAGAAACATCAATGATGAGAGAGAATCATTGATGGGCTGCTTCCTGCACGCCCCACACCAGGGACTGAACCCACAACCCCAGCAGATGCCCTGACCAATAATCTCACTGTGACCTCCTGGTTCAAAGACTGATGTTCAACCCCCAAGTCCCCTGGCCGGCTTACCGTGTTAGGTTCAGGAGACAACCATGACACACTGATGTCCAAGATGAGCCGGCAGGAGGCGCTGCCCGGCTTCCCCGCCAGCCCCCAGGGGCCCCTGCCTGGCGACGGGCGTGGAGAGCCAGCCATCCCTGCAGCAGCGACGTCTCCCAGCAGGCCCCAGTGCACCCGTCAGGACTGTCACACCGAGCCATCGCAGCGTGGAACAGTCACGGTGCCTGACTCAGCATCACCGTTAGGCAGGGATCTTTCCGGGTGAGGAGCAGGCACCGCATCTAACCCCAGGCTGGGCTGTTCATTTCATCCTTCGGCTGCTCCTGGGCTGCCCGCGGGTGGCAGCTCTGCTTGCTTGGACCGGGACTGTTCGGCGCTCCGGTTTCCACACCCTGAGTCGGTGTAGACGGTACATTTATAGACGGTAGCACGTTTCTTTCGACTGGAAATGGAATGCGGACAGAGCGCCCAGAGGGTGTGCGTAATTTCTCGACATCCTGTTCGCTGTTTATTCTCAGAAGCAAGCGGCTTAGCGTGGATTGCCTTCAGTCGCTGAAAGCTGCCTGCGTCTCGCCAGAGGGACGGTTGACGGCAGGCCCACAGATATTTTAACGGAGACGCCCGGATCAGGGTAGAGCCATTCGTTAAAGCACCAGCTTTGTTCCTGCAACACTGACATCACACACTGAGGACAGAGCCCCCTACAGGCCCGTGGCCGCCTGCCCCGCCAGAGCAGCGGTCGGCTGGATGACCTTGGTCTCTCGGACCCGGACGGCCCAGCCAAGGGCGACCCTTGCACATCCCAGCCACGGCACACTGACCTTCCTGGGTCAGCCATGGGGCCTGCTTTCTGCTGGCGGACGGCAGATCCGATCAGCCCCGTCTCCTCCTGGCACAGACACAGGTCCCCTCGCCTGCTGGTCGAGGACAGGGCAGAACTGGGCAGGACCTGGCTCTGTGGAGTCACAGGCCGCCAGGCCCCAGACGCCTGGTCACACCGCCCATCAGAGAACCCGGTCTCCTGGGCTGGCGCTCTGCCCCTGGGCTCAGGGAAGAGGGGCTTGTTCGGGAGCCTAGTGAAGTGGCTTCGGAGACATCTGACAGCTGGTGCCACTGCTCCGAGGCAGAGCCCGTGGCATTATGTGCCCCCCCCCTCTTGGCCCCCCTCACCCTGCCCTCTGCTCCCCCGCAGCAGCCTGAACAGCGTGAACAGCAGCGACTCGCGCTCCAGCGGCTCGCACTCGCACTCGCCCAGCTCCCACTACCGCTGCCGCAGCTCCAACCTGGCCCAGCAGGCGCCCGTGCGGCTGTCCAGCGTGTCCTCGCACGACTCGGGCTTCATATCCCAGGACGCCTTCCAGTCCAAGTCGCCGTCCCCCATGCCGCCCGAGGCCCCCACCCAGGTAAGGGCGCCCCCTGCCGCCCGAGGCCCCCACCCAGGTAAGGGCGCCCCCTGCCGCCCAGGCCCCCACCCAGGTAAGGGCGCCCCATGCTGCCTGAGGCCCCCACTCAGGTAAGGGCGCCCCATGCTGCCCGAGGCCCCCACCCAGGTAAGGGTGACCCTTGTCGCCCGAGGCCCCCACTCAGGTAAGGGCGCCCCCTGCCGCCCGAGGCCCCCACCCAGGTAAGGGCGCCCCATGCTGCCCGAGGCCCCCACCCAGGTAAGGGTGCCCCTGCCGCCCGAGGCCCCCACCCAGGTAAGGGGCTCTGGGAGTGGCCACCATGCCTGGCGCCCAGGCCACCATGGAGGGCCGGAACCCCTGGCTGGGCCAGGCCTCTGTCCCAGTTTAACGCCTCACCTTTCCACATGTGGTTCCCCTAAAGGAAGGGAGACTGGGTGGTGGGCGGCGGGTCACAGGGTGGGTGGGGTGCTCCCGCCCCTGAGCGCTTAGCCTTCAGAGAGGCTTGGCTGTCCTGGGAGTGCCTGCTGAGTGGGCGCGCTGATGGGCATGGCACCGTGGGCCCCTCCCCACTCTGTTCTCGGAGATGCTGCCAGGGGGCGGGGGAGGGGAGCAGCGCCGGAGCCTGTCACTCAGGCTCTGTGCATTGCTTTGTGTTGAGAGTGAGACTCACTCAGCACAGCCCTCACAGCCCGTCCTGCCGGCACTGCTTCTGGGGGACGCAGAGTTGTCCGATCTCCCCCACCTCGGCAGCTGCGCAGCCCCGCCCGCCAGGGGTCCCGCCGGCCGGTGGGCACAGCAGGCAGGAGCAGCACCTCCCCTCTCTCAGCCCCGGGGCCAGTGTCTGGCCTCGCTGAGTAAGCAGCGGGACAGAGACCCAGAGTGGGAAGGCCCAGGGTGCCCCCGTGCATCGGCCGGGCGTGGTGGGCCCGCCCGTCCTGCCCATGTTGAGCTGAGCCATACGCAGCCGTTGGTCCAGGACGCTGCTGTCTTGTTTGCCCGCGTTCCCGTTCGCCCGGCAGGCGCTGGCCGTCTCCGGTTTGCTGCCTAGTCCTTCTGGCAGCCACGTCGGCTGTCATGGCCCGTTTGTGGAAACAGAGGCTCGGGTGTAGATGGCCCGCCCGCATACACTCACTCACTGAGACCTGGGAAAGGCTTTCTGAGGCCCCGGGGCACCCCTGGGGGAGTGCGTGGGGGACCCTTTGTGCAGAGGAAGCCGCTGGGGTGCGTGGGGACTGCCTGACGTGTCCGACCTGGTGCCCGCAGCCCCTGGCTCCCCGGGGCAGGTCGTGTCCGCTGTCCAGGACACTCGGGCCGGTCTTCCCGGGAGAGAGACTCCATGTCAAGCAGACGCTCTGGGGAGAGCCTGCGGCCCTAAGTTCTCAGGTGCTTGTCCGACGGGGCGGCGGCCTGGTCTCCGAGGTGTCTGTCCACCCGTCCGCCCGTCCCCACCACGTGTCTCCCACGCTGAGCTGCATGACGGGAAGGAGAGCAGGATTGTGCAGTTCCTCCAAGGCTATTCGTTGTGCAGCATAATTCTCTGTGTTTTTAATCAGCTGACAAACTAACCCGGTCTTGCGCACTGACACCCGTTTCTAAAGAAAGGGGGGGCATGGGCTTCAGCCTCCCTGTGTGAGGCCGAGTGTGGAGCGCTCGGGGAGGCAGGAGTGGCCTGTGGGACACTCTTAACCCGCAGAGCCGGTGCCCGAGATATGGGGGCCAGCAGCTTTAGGGCCTGTCCTCAGGGGCTGCAGAATTCACTAGAAAAATCTTTTTTTTTTTTTAAAAAGGGCACTACTGCTACTTATAATTATAAGGTCGAGGGGAAATTGCACAGATCACAGGCCCCAGGATGCACTGTCCTGAGGGCAGTAATAGTGTCTTCATTGGGGAGGGAGGGAGGGAGGAGCACGCCTAAGGGGTTAGAGCCCTTCGCTTCTCCACTCAGCCTCTCCCTACCCACCTCGCCCTGCAGACACAAAGCCGAGTGAGAGAAACTGTCCCGAGTTCCCCCACTTTCCTCAGCTCTGCTCTGTGTACGTGTGCCTTCACCGGTGTGCCCGAAGGGGGCCCCTGCTGTGGCGAGGGTCTGGTCCTAGGGCCGCCGAGGCTGCCAAAGCAAGAGGAGCTTAGAAAAAGCGAGACGTCACAGCAGCACGACCTGTTCAGGCCGCACTCGCGTGAACCGGGGAACCTGGGGGACGGTGCGGGTGCCTCCCAGCTAACGGCTCTCACGCCTGGGGCAGGTGTGGCAGAGGCACGTGTGCAAGAAAGCCTCGCTGTGTCTCCGTCCGTTAGCTACTTACTACGGACCCCCCTTCCGAAGGTGGAAACAGGTTAGAGAGAGTAAGCCCAGGATTCCTGACTGACAAGTGGCAGGAATGTCGTGTAAATCCAAACCTCCAGACTCTAACCAACGGCTAACCAGACACGGAGCGCGGGAGCGGCGGTGGCTGCCGGGAGCCCCGCACCTGCACCTGCGGGGTGTCTTCTGGGTCCTGCCCTCGCAGGATGGGAACGCTGGTGCTCTGTGCCTTTCAGGAACCTTTCCTTGCCGGTGGGAGGGGTGACAACCGTGAGGCCTGCCTCCAAGACTGAATATAGGAGTGCTTCTGGGAAAGTAATAGTAGACCCCATGGGGCTGGGCTGGCTTGTTTATTTATTAAATGTGTTTTTATTGACTTCTTCTAAATACATATATTTATTGATTTCAGAGAGGAAGGAAGAGGGGAGAGAAAAACAAAAACACATCAATAATGAGAATCACCTATTGGCTGCCTCCTGCACGCCCCCTACTGGGGATGGAGCCTGAAACCCAGGCATAAGAGCCCTGATGGGAAATCCAACCGTGACCTCCTGGTTCATAGCTCGGCATTTAACCACTGAGCCACCCTGGCCGGGCAGGGCTGGGCTGATTTAAGCACAGGGTGTGAGCCAGAGATGGCAGCTCACAATGAAAAAAAACGAAAGCAAATACCCGGAAGGGCCCAGGGCACTCCCAGGGGGACCCAGTGCACATGGAGGAGATGGTCGATGTCACTCACCCACTCAGTGGTTCGAGCACCTGCCGTGTGCGGTTCGGAACAACGCGCAGGCAGGGTCCTGGGCGCTTCGTCTGTGGTCCTCACGGTGGGCCTCACGCTTCTTTTCAAGGGCTTGAGGGCCTGCGCGTGGGTGCAGCTGGGGAAGAATAACCCTAACTTACCTGCTTCTCTCACCTTCCTCTCCCGTGTGTCTGTCTGTCCCTCTCTCTCTGCGTGCTCTTCCCCACCCCGTCTTTTTATTTCTCACTCACCGTTCCTTTTTGGTGGCGTGTGGCCCCTCCCCGGCTGCAGAACTCGTCCAGCTCGGCCTCCTCGGAAGCCTCCGAAACCTGCCAGTCAGTGAGCGAGTGCAGCTCGCCCACCTCGGTCAGCTCAGGCTCCACCATGGGCGCCTGGGCCTCCACAGAGAAGGTGACCGGCCCGGGGCCCGTCCCCACGGCCCCCTCCTCCCCCTCCCCACCCACTGCTCCTGCCACAGGCACCGGAACCTGGAAACTCAGAATCCACTCAGAAGCCACAGACGGCTTGGGGTCGGGACGAGGCTGAGGGCTCTCCCTGGGGGGTGTCTGGCTCCTAAACAATGACCGTGAGACCGTCCAGGGGGAGCGGGGCTATGGGGAACTCGGAGGTGTGAAGGCTCACCCCTTCCCCTCCCCTGCCCCCCTCCCCCCCCCCGCCCTCCTGCTGCTGCACCGCAGGCCGTGACATCTCACCGCGTCAGGCCATGCGCTTCTCCGCCTTTCATTCCGCAAACCACCCCCTGGTCACCCCGACCCGGAACCCGCTTCTGAACAAGCAGTGTGATGGTTTCCCAAACCTACAACCAACAGGTTCAGTGGAAGGCACTTGGGGTTTTGAAGGTTGCCACAGGAGATGAGCACTGAGGAAGGTTGTTGTGCGGGTTGAATACTCACACACCATAGAGCGCCCCCGGTGGAGGAGACAGTTTCCCGCTGTCTCAGAGGGAGGGGCGGAATGTCCTCCACTGGACACGGGCTCGGGTTCGAGGAAATGGACGTGTGCTCTGCCCCCGCTCCTGCCTGCGTCCTGGCTGACCCTGAGCTCCAGGCCGTGCTTGTTCACAGAAGTCCAGGGCTTCCTCTCATTGAATGTCGATGCCATCTTGTATCTCCACTCGTCCTGTTATATTAATTTTTTTTCCTTTTTCCCTCCTTTTTTGTTTCGTTTCCAGTTGTCTAACGGGTTTACTCACTGTAGTTTATCAAGTGAGTCCCAGGTGGGGCCCGTGGGGGCAAGCCTTTTCCCTCATTGCCTGCCTGCCTCCCGCCTGCTCCCTCGGGTCACCTCTGTCCACCTTCCAGACTACGCTCATTATCACACCATTGGGCCCGGCATGTTCCCGTCATCTCAGATCCCTAGCTGGAAGGTTTGTGTCTCTCCTCCCTCCGCCCTCCTCTCCTCTCTCTCATGGCCTCTGTGCTCACCTCCTGTCCCACCAACCTCACCCTGATTACCCCCTCCCCCTCCTTCCACACTCTGCCTTCTTCCCCATAACACCTCTCCCCCAGTGAATGCCCCCCAGGAGAGCCAGAGAGGCAGGCAGCTTTGAGACAGACAAGCCCATTAGGAGCTGAGATGGGAGAGGCTCCCGTTACTATATAAACATGAGTTAACCCCATTGGGTAGAAGACACAGATGTGACCTGCAGAGGCGTCGGTTCCAAGTCCCAGTTTGGGCCTCCTGAGCGCCCGTTATCAGGGCTGGGAGGGTCTGTCCCCCACGGCCACGTTCCTTACTGGGACGTGGTAATAACAGCATAACCCAAAATACGTTTTGGCTTACCAGAGTACACACAGACTTGGTTTTTAGTCTCCGTTGCCTTAGATTAAAACGTGTGTGCTTCCGTATAAAAGCGGAAGTCCAGCGGATGCCAGAGGACATTCTGCTTTGTTTTGAGAGGAGGCCCCTAATTTTGAACAGGTCTTCACTTCATCCCTCACACGTGGTGTGGACCCCTCAGGCCCTCCAAAACCTCCCAGCTGACCCCGGGCCTTCCCTCCACTGTGAGGGCCTCCGGACACGTCCTGAGGTGCCTTTTGGGGTCCAGCTCTCCTAGTGGAGGGTCAGCCTCTGGGGGAGTGGCTGCCGTTCCCTCAGCGCCCCCTGGTGGCCCCTCCACTCAAGTGAAGTCACTGGAGACTGGACCCATCCCTGGCTGGTGCCTTCAGACACGGAGACAGCTGGTAGCTGGTAGTGGAGCTCCCCCAGGCCACTCGTCTGATTGTTGAGGATTTGTAATCTCTGGGAGGCGACCAAGGGGTCCCCACAGGGTGTCCCGCCCCCCTTAGAGCCGGGGGAGGGCATAGAGGGGCCTGCTGACCTGTCCCAGTCTGAGCTTCCCCCACGGGGACCTGCTGCCCTCTGTGGGCAGCTGTCTGGAAGGTCCGCAGCCCTCACGGGAGCAGAGCCCCGGTTCCTGACCGCACTGTTCTACGTAGGACTGGGCCAAGCCAGGGCCTTATGACCAGCCTCTGGTGAACACCCTACAGCGCCGCAAGGAGAAGCGGGAGCAGGACCCCGGCGGCGGAGGAGGCCCCGGCGCCGCGGGCGGCCCGTCTGCCGCCGCCGAGGAGGCCCAGAGGCCGCGGAGCATGACCGTGTCCGCCGCCACCAGGGTGATGCTTTGTTCTCTGCCGGCGGGTGGGCCCCTCTGGACCTGGCTGGTGGCCAGATGCTTCAGCATCAGCCTCGGGGACCTCGCAGCTGAGGGAGCTGACCCCCTCACCCCCTCTCCAGTTTCCAGAAGGCTTCCAGGGGAAAGCCTGTGTGGGAATCGGGCTTGTAGAACTCTCTAGAGCCTGGGTAGGGCCCAAGCAAGTTAGTTCCCACAGACCCTGTGTTCCCAGGAGCAGATGAGGACTAATACCTGGCCCCCACTCGGAGAGGAAGGGCCCTGGGGACGTGAGACGGGGAAGTCCCAGCCCTGTGCTTGTGTCTCTCCTCTACCCCGCAGCCCGGCGAGGAGATGGAGGCTTGTGAGGAGCTGGCCCTCGCCCTGTCGCGGGGCCTCCAGCTGGACACGCAGAGGAGCAGCCGGGACTCGCTGCAGTGCTCCAGCGGCTACAGCACCCAGACCACCACCCCGTGCTGCTCCGAGGACACCATCCCCTCCCAAGGTACCGGCGCTGGGCCCCGGCGGGGCCCGTGAGGAAGAGGGAGGCCTCCCGGGATGCAGGGGCGGGCAGTCCTGTGGACCACACGTCATCCTGGAAGGGAGGGCCTGGGAGAGCTGGCCTGCCCCGGCCGGGGTGGGGGCTGCCAGTGACTGGCTGTTGCAGCTCATTGTCACTTTCGGGGTGCAGGGCTGTTCTCAATGGGAACTCAGACGGACGCCACTAACGAGAACATCACTTGTGTTTCAGCACTTTATTTTCCCACGTAATGTTCTCAATCGCTTATATCTTTTTATCCCATTCTGCATACATGGAAACCGAGCCTGCGTAATTTGCCCAAATTCACGCGATAAGCAGCAGAGCTAGAGTTTGAACCTAGGGTCTGTTAGTCTGAAGCCCAAACTCAACCTGTTCCAGCCAAATCCTCTCTCCACTGCGCCTCCCTCGCCCCTTCCCCACCACATTCCCAAGCCTGAGCACGGCAGTCTGACAGCTAGGACGGGTCAGTGACGGCGGACCCTGCTTGCAGTCCATCAAAGGGATTTGCTGCCCACGGGACACTTGCGATGTCTGGTGACACCTTTGCTGTCACACGGGAGGGGGTGCTGGATCGCCGGGTGCTGTAAACGCCTGTGATACACAGCACACCTGGTCCCCACGGTCCACCATGGCAATGGTGTTGCCGTTCAGAAGCTTCCTGTCCCCTTTGATACCATTTTTGAGGAGGTGAGCACCCTTTGTTGATGGAACCACTGATTACCTTGTCCTCAGGGACTCATTGCCAGTTCCTCCATCTACTGTATAGTCTCGCCTAATGAGTGAATGGTGAGAGAGGCGTAGGGCTGAGGTGACCTGTTTGGGCTGTGGCTCAGGTTGCAATCTGGACGGAGCACGTGGGGAATCTCCCTCCTCCGCTTCACCCCCTAGATGCTTGGGGAGCGTTGCCTCAGCCCCGCCGTTTCCCGTTCGTCCCCCTCCACCGTGCGTGCTGCGTGCCTCCATGCCCAGCACCGTTCTAGGCGCCGGGGCATGTCAGGGACCAGGAGGAAGGTCCCTGCCAAGGGCCTTAGGACGGCAGAAGCCGGGGGGGGAGGCCTGGGGAGAGACTGTGGCTAAGCACTTGCCTCTTGTGCCTTTTGTTCTCCCAACACAGAAGACTCAGAAAGCAGAGCCGCTGCCTTGGAGGTTTCTAATCGAATCCTATCATCAGTTTCAGATTACGATTATTTCTCGGTAAGTGGTGACCAGGAGGCAGACCAGCAGCAGGAGTTTGACAAGTCCTCCACCATCCCGAGGAACAGCGACATCAGCCAGTCCTACCGACGCATGTTCCAGGCCAAGCGCCCGGCCTCCACTGCTGGCCTCCCCACCACCCTGGGACCGGCCATGGTCACCCCAGGGGTTGCAACCATCCGACGGACCCCTTCCACCAAGCCTTCTGTGCGCCGGGGCACCATCGGAACCGGTCCCATCCCCATCAAGACGCCCGTGATCCCTGTGAAGACCCCAACCGTCCCAGACCTCCCTGGGGTGCTGCCAGCGCCCCCAGACGGGCCGGAGGAGCGGGGTGAGCGCAGCCCCGAGGCGCCCTCTGTGGGCGAGGGCCCCCAGGGGGTCGCCAGCATGCCGTCCTCACTGTGGAGCGGGCAAGCCTCTGTCAACCCTCCCCTCCCAGGCCCGAAGCCAAGCATCCCCGAGGAGCACAGACAGGCGATCCCGGAGAGCGAGGCCGAAGACCAGGAGAGGGAAGCCTCCGGGGCCGCTGCCTCCCCGGGCCGGGCTCCGGAGCCCGCAGACCTGAGCCCCAGGGACGCCCCCCAGGGAGAAGACATGCTGAACGCCATCCGAAGGGGCGTGAAGCTGAAGAAGACCATGACCAACGACCGCTCGGCCCCTCGCTTCTCTTAGGCTCGCAAGATGCTGCCAGCGGGGATCGGACTGTTTAATTAACAAAACCTAGTTTGTCTTATCCATTCCGATCCATAATCAAACGAAAGATTTTGTAGGCAACTCAAAATACAGCTCTTTTGAAAGTAGACACCTTTAGATAAGAATTAAAAGCAACATATGTAACTGACATAATCTTGATCTTTTAATTTGTAAATATTGACAGTTTTCTTTCTGCACATTTAAAATTAGTTTCCCTTTTGATTTTTCTGAAGGTGCCAAATTCCACTTACCTTTTTTATAAGTCTTTGTAAAATTTTCAATGCATAAGGGGGGGGAGGGCTCAGGGCAGGGGAACCACATAGTGGGGTATCTTTTTCTCCTTTTTTTTCCTGCAAGCTTTTGTAGATGCATTGTAGAAGTCTGGCTTAGAAGCAAATTCAAGTTATTTTAATGTACAAACAGAAAGGGAAGAGGTGAACTCTTCACACGACGTTCCGAACGAGCAAAGCAGAGGAGCACCATTCGGAGTGAAGTGAACCTGAAGGGTGGACTGTGGGATTGGGGGGAGGGCCAGGGTGGGGCACTGTCAACATAGCCGGCTGTCACATTTAAGAGTAGCCTCGTAGGTTGAATTTCTAGTAGCTTCATGGTTAATGCATCCAAATAAGCCATACTGGATTGCAGTGTTTGTTTCTGTAAGGTGTTTAAGGACTTCTTTTCTCCCATGATTCCTCTTGACTGCACACAGCACCCACCTCCAACCCCGTGCATGCTGCCACCACCGGGTAGACATAGAATTTATCCCCCACTTAGTTCCTCGTCTGTTATACCCACTTTCATCCAATCCAGATGCATCCAAAAGGGTAAGGCAGTTTCAAAAATGTGAAAACATTTAAACACAATAGCAGGGAATTCTTAGATAAAGCAAATACCTTTTACTTAACTGTGCCCAGCAGGCTGGGTGCACTGAAAAGTCCAAATATTTTGAAAAAAAAACTTGAGCGGATTTAACAAGAGTAACCAGCGTAGCATCCAGCAACTTGCCAATGTGTTTACCAATCCAGGGGCTTGTTTTTCTTAATTGGCTTCACGCTAAACAACGAAGGAGGATTTATTTATTGTCACTCGGAATCTGACCACTAGACTGTCGCTCTTTCTGTATTTTAGGTCATGTTTTTTGGAATGGATTTGTCTTTTCTTCTTTAAGTGAATGTTAAATTTACTACAATCCCCGTCCCCTAAAGCCAACAGAGATCTGTAGATTTGGAGGGTTCATGTTTGGAGAATATAAACATGAAAAAGAAAGCAATTCCTAGCAGCTGGGTCAGCTGACAGTGCCCCCCTGTGGCCGGACCTGTCAAGGAATGATCGGAGCTTGGTGGGTCCCCCAGACCCGGCATGTTCCTGTTGGCTCCCCTATTCAGTCATAATCTTATTCTTTAACACATGACTGCATTGGATGTGAGAGTAACATACCTGTATAGTCATTACTTCTATATATTAACATTTAACACTGCTGTGATTGCTCAAGGACATTTTATGTTATGGCTTTAAAGCAAAGGCATGATTATTAGAAACAGCTTTTTTTCTTTGAAAAACAAGCTCCTTTTACAGAATATAAGCAACAGTAGTGCCTGTGGTTTAGCCCACCAATCTCAATGACGAAAAAGTAGCTGATGCATTGTGCATATGATGCTTGAGATGGTTTTTGCAAAAGCAGAAATCACTGCAAGGTAATCACAATAGGTAAGAATGGTATTTTAAATCTTTGAAATAAATGGATGTAACTGTACCTCGGTACAGCTTTTCACTTGTTTAGTTTTTAAACGTTAGTATAATCTGAAGAAATGTAATATAAAATGTTGCCAAATTCACTGTAGAAAGAATGTGACGAAACACCCTGGGTAGTCCTGTTTGTGTTTTTGCATATTGTAAAAGCAGTGTCACAGCTACAAATAAAGAAATCGTTTCTAAAGGTAAATTATTGTGGTTTAGTTGCTAGTTTGTACTGAGAGTTGACCTCTCGCTGTGCAGTTTTTTGTTCTAAACTTGTATAAATAACAATTGTGTAATGTGTTTCCCTTCTATCTTGTAACAATTGCTTCAGCCTACATTATAAATAAAGAACCACTAGAAAAAAAGTTGTTTCAAATATTATAAATTCAGTTGTTCTTCGTCAAATGTTAGAAGATGCACTGAGACGCAGACTTCACTTACTTAGAAAACTGACAAACACATGATGTCTGTGGTGATTTGAGCCCTAAGGACAGAAGTTGCCTGAATGCAGTTCCAATGAGTTGTCAAGAAGGAAAGGTAGCTGGGTTCAGTTGTTTTTAGAATGGATTTATATTTTATTTTGCGAATCCTCACCTAAGGATATTTTTTCCATTGCTTTTTCAGAGTGTGTGTGTGTGGAGGGGAGGCAGGGGGGGACACAGACAGAGACGGACACGTCGCCTGGTTGCCTCCTTTATGCACCCTGACTGGAGATGGGGTAGGGGACCAAACCTGAAATCTAGGTACCTGCTCTTGACTGGGGATCAAACCCTTGACCCTTCAGTGCAGGGACCCATGATCTAACCAGTGAGCCCCACGGGCCATGGCTGGCTTTACTGTTTAAAGAAACCTCTTCAAATGGTTGGAGTTTTGCTGTACCCTTAACTTGGAGTCTGCAGGCAATCCAAGCTACAGTGGAGGAAGCAAAGCTGGAAAACTGCCTCCAAAACAAGTGAGTTTCACCCCCAACTGGACTCTAACCCTACCCGTCAAACTTCCACTCCGAGCGCCCAGGTTTATTTGTTGAATGTGAACTTCTTAGAGAAAGCTGTTTAATCAAAACAAACTGCATCAGTAGAATGTTTAGAAAACCAAGACGGTAGCTAAGTCCTCAATATTTGTATACCTTCTCTCAGCCTCCATTCCTTCCAGACACGAGTGCTAATTCAGGCTTCACCTAGAGTCTCGTCAGCTCCATTTTCAGAGTGAGTCTTGTGCCCGGTTCTGCTGCAGTTGTCCCTTATCAACAACCTGTGCTGTCACTGACTGAACACGTCTGACTGGACATGTCACAGACTTTTCTGTCTGCACAACGGCTGCGGAGCCTGGCAGACCGCGGCCGCCCCTGCAGCGTTACTCCTCACACAGACAGCACAGCAGTCATACCTTGTTACTTTTATTAGGGCAAGTGTATATATTTTCTGCAGCTTATTTCACTTGCAAGCAGGACGGTGGTGTGTCTTCCTCTGTCTATGTGGGCCGCTCCCGGGGCCTGGTCACAATGTGCCACCACAGGGGGGGCAGGTCCCCTTCCTTCCGGGCAGGGGGCAGAGCTTCGGTGAAGGGACCACCAGCTGGGGTTTCCGCCTGCAGCTGCTTCACCTGGAAGGGGGCAAGGAAGGACCAGTTAGTAAAGGAGCTGGACTGACGGTCCCGGCTGCACAGTCAGTGTTGCCTTTGTCCTGCTGTCACATCACAGCTCTGAGTGGTGTTAGTTCACACCTGCGTTATTCGATAGCCACACTTTAACTCGGAAAAGATGTCCTCAAAGCTTTTCCCATTCTTAAAACAGCAAAGTGAGAAAAACTCTCCCACTCACCTTATTCATTAACCAAACCATGACGACCACTACTTCAGTTCCCGATTATGGTCTCCCCACCTAAACTCTACTCCCTCCCCCAACAAAAATTGATTATTGTGTCTCAGCTAAGTGTTCCCCAAAATCACCAGTAAGAAATCTCAAAAAAAAAAAAAAAAAAAAAAAAGAAAGAAATCGCAATTCATATATATTAGGGATGTTAATGTTAAAGCCCCTCTCCCCCAATAGCAACCAGGACAAGCAACAAGATCACATGGAAAATATGCTCGTTATGCCTGATACTGACCAACCCCCCCAGGTCCGGGATCTCTGAGACCATCACGGCCCTAACCCAGGAGGAACCCAGAGACCCGCTTTCCAGATCAGTGACTGAGGAACCGCCTCCAGAAACCGCCATTCTGGAACGCGGTTACCTGAGCCCCAGCACGTGAGCTGTCTAATAACGCGGCAGAGACGACAGTAACAGGAGTCAGGTTTGTGTGAGGAGGTTACAGCGGTCACTGCACTGAGTCACCACACCCCGTTCCCAAACGCAGAGACAGGCCTCCCTGCACGCTCGGGATCCCACGCCTCTTCCCGAAACTCCCTCCACCTTTCCATCCTCAACATCATCGGCTGCTCCCTCCTTCCAAATCACACACCATTATTTTTTAAAAATATATATTTTATTGATTTTCCAGATAGGAAGGGAGAGGGATAGAGAGCTAGAAACGTCGATGAGAGAGAAACATCGACCAGTTGCCTCCTGCACACCCCCGACCAGGGATGTGCCAGCAACCAAGGTACATGCCCTTGATTGGAATCGAACCTGGGACCTTTCAGTCTGCAGGCCGACGCTCTATCCACTGAGCCAAACCGGTTTCAGCTCACGCACCATTATTTCTCCTCTTAGAAAACAATCATGTGGTCTCGTTACTATTCTCAGCAAACCTTCTCAAGAATCCTCACTCCAGACTACAGAGGGAGGATCCAAGATGGCTGCTCGGGTAGACATCTAGCCGCGGCAGCACACAACAATTTCAATGGAATACAACTAAAATGTAGAGTGGACATTGCCCAGAGCTACAGGTAGTCGACTGACTGAAATTTCTACAACAAGAAGGAAAGAGAAAACCAGAAAGAACATCAGAGGAGCTGAAAAAAAGCCTAAGGTACGGAGACATGCTGCGCGCGCCTGCCAGCCCGCCCGTGCGCACGGAGAGGTCGCAGCCGGAGAGGAGGAGAGGGCGGGGAGCCGCCTTTCCTTCCCTAGCAGGAAGGAAATAAAACCTCCAGCCTGGGCTGAACCCCCGAACCGGCAGCGCTGAGCCCCCCCGAACCGGCAGCGCTGAGCCCCAGTTATGGGCCAGACCCTGGGGACCCAGGCTCCGGCGGGAGGAGACGGGGCCGTGAGGCGGAAAAACGGCGAAAGGCAGGGCCCCGGGAGTCGCGCGCAATGCGCGCAGAGGACTGAATGTTGACTCTGATGCTGGGTAGCCCTAGCCGGAAGAAACAAGGCCTCCGGCGGCGCTGAGCCTCAGTCCGGACTGCTCCGAACCCCAGTTCTGGGCTAATCCCTGGGGACCCAGGCTCAGGCAGAGGGAGACGGGGCTGTGAGGTGGAGTCCGGGGAGAGCGGCGAAAGGCCGGGCCCCCGGGACTCGCGCAAACTGCGCGCAGAGGACAGTCTGTGGGACTCGCGCAAACTGCGCGCAGAGGACAGTCTGTTGACTCTGATGCTGGACTTCCCTAGCGGGAAGGAGAAAAAAAAAGCTCTAGGCTGGGGGAACGCGGAGGGGAGCGGAAGCCCCTGCCGGACTCCAGCCAACCGGGCACCAGCAAGGAGGCGGGCCACGAGGCCCCTGGGGGCGTGGGTGCCCCTGAGCCTTTGACCACTGAGCTCGGGCAATGGAGCCAAGGCCGGGGGCTGCTTCCTGGGCGGCGCCGTCCCGGCAACAGGCTGAAGCAGCGCAGGAGCCTGCGGAGAACAAAGGGGTGCCACAGGCCAACCTGCTGAGCTCCCAGGACAAGGAGGAAGAAACCAAAGAAGTTCTCAATGTGAAGAAATCAAGTGAGAGCAAAAAATAGTAAAATTACTTAAGAAAGAATACAAAGAAGATCTTGAAAAATCAAAGACTAAGTCAGAACTCAACTCACCAGCCAACATTGCAACATAAATGCGTTTTAAAAAGAAAAAAAAAGGACAGAATGTTGGAACAGCGACGGCCAGGCCTAGAGTGGCCAGGCACAAGGCAGTGGCAGCCAGACCCGGAGCAGCAACGGCCAGGCCCCAGAACAACAGCAGCCAGAACCAGAGCATCAACAGCCAGCACTGGAGTAGCCAGACCTGGGGCAGTGGCAGCCAGGCATGAGGCGGAGGCGGCCAAGCCCAGGGTGGCCAGTCCAGGAACACCCAGACCCGGAGTGGCCGGGCCCGAAGAAGCCGGGCCCAGAGCAGCCGAGGTGGGAGCAGCCAGACCCAGAACAGCAATAGCCAAGCCCAGAGCATCCAGGTTGGGAGTGGCCAGGCTCGGAGCGGCCGGGCCCGGGGCAGCCGGGCCCAGAGCAGCCGGGTCAGGTGCGGCCAGGCCCGGAGCAGCAGCTGCCAGGCTGGGAGCGGCCAGGCCCGGGGGAGCAGTCGGGTCGGGTGCGGCCAGGCCCGGAGCAGCGGCTGCCAGGCTGGGAGCGGCCAGGCCCGGGGGAGCAGGCGGGGCTGGTGCGGCCAGGCCCGGAGCAGCGGCTGCCAGGCTGGGAGCGGCCAGGCCCGGGGGAGCAGGCGGGGCTGGTGCGGCCAGGCCCGGAGCAGCGGCTGCCAGGCTGGGAGCGGCCAGGCCCGGGGGAGCAGGCGGGTCGGGTGCGGCCAGGCCAGGAGCAGCGGCTGCCAGGCTGGGAGCGGCCAGGCCCGGGGGAGCAGGCGGGTCGGGTGCGGCCAGGCCCGGAGCAGCGGCTGCCAGGCTGGGAGCGGCCAGGCCCGGGGGAGCAGGCGGGTCGGGTGCGGCCAGGCCCGGAGCAGCGGCTGCCAGGCTGGGAGCGGCCAGGCCCGGGGGAGCAGCCGGGTCGGGTGCGGCCAGGCCCGGAGCAGCGGCTGCCAGGCTGGGAGCGGCCAGGCCCGGGGGAGCAGCCGGGTCGGGTGCGGCCAGGCCTGGAGCAGCGGCTGCCAGGCTGGGAGCGGCCAGGCCCGGGGGAGCAGCCGGGTCGGGTGTGGCCAGGCCCGGAGCAGCGGCTGCCAGGCTGGGAGCGGCCAGGCCCGGGGGAGCAGGCGGGGCTGGTGCGGCCAGGCCCGGAGCAGCGGCTGCCAGGCTGGGAGCGGCCAGGCCCGGGGGAGCAGGCGGGTCGGGTGCGGCCAGGCCCGGAGCAGCGGCTGCCAGGCTGGGAGCGGCCAGGCCCGGGGGAGCAGCCGGGTCGGGTGCGGCCAGGCCCGGAGCAGCGGCTGCCAGGCTGGGAGCGGCCAGGCCCGGGGGAGCAGCCGGGTCGGGTGCGGCCAGGCCCGTAGCAGCGGCTGCCAGGCTGGGAGCGGCCAGGCCCGGGGGAGCAGGCGGGTCGGGTGCGGCCAGGCCCGGAGCAGCGGCTGCCAGGCTGGGAGCGGCCAGGCCCGGGGGAGCAGGCGGGGCTGGTGCGGCCAGGCCCGGAGCAGCGGCTGCCAGGCTGGGAGCGGCCAGGCCCGGGGGAGCAGGCGGGGCTGGTGCGGCCAGGCCCGGAGCAGCGGCTGCCAGGCTGGGAGCGGCCAGGCCCGGGGGAGCAGGCGGGTCGGGTGCGGCCAGGCCCGGAGCAGCGGCTGCCAGGCTGGGAGCGGCCAGGCCCGGGGGAGCAGGCGGGTCGGGTGCGGCCAGGCCCGGAGCAGCGGCTGCTAGGCTGGGAGCGGCCAGGCCCGGAGCAGCAGCAGCCAAGTCCAGAGCAACTAGGTCGGGAGCGGCAGTGACCAGACCCGGAGCAGCTGGTTGTGGAATGAACCAGAGCAACAGAGGCCAGGCCCTGAGCAGCCTGGCCCAGAACAGCTCGCTCCTTGCCTGCCCCTGCCCCACGGCTGCTTCTCAGACATGGCTGGAAACTTTTGTGGGAACTTGAGGGTCTGCTGAATCAAGTGGTGAAGGCTTAGATCTGGATGTGTTGCGTTAGTTTAGGACTGGGGTGTTGATCTGTGAGTGCCTTGGGTGGGGCCTGGATGAGGCTGGTTGACCTAGTGGGAAATGTCTTTTGTGTGAAGTGTATCATTGGACATGTGGAGGTATTATTGATATGAGAAAATGCTAAGTAACTGATTTACTATCTGAAAAGGGATTTACTATTGGGGAAATTGAGGGAAGAAGAGACTGAACATAAACTGCACCTATGGATGAGGACAATGGGGGATGGGGGGGGACGGAGGGTGGGGTGGGAACCTGGTGGAGGGGGGAAGAAATGAGGAACCTTTGTAATAATATGAACAATAAAGATTGATTAAAAAAAAAAAAAAAAAAAAAAAGAATCCTCACTCCAGCCAAAACTGGTTTGGCTCAGTGGATAGAGCGTCGGCCTGTAGACCAAAAGGTCCCGGGTTCGATTCCAGTCAAGGGCATGTACCTTGGTTGCGGGCACATCCCCAGTAGGGGGTGTGCAAGAAGCAGCTGATCGATGATTCTCTCTCATCGATGTTTCTAACTATCCCTCTCCCTTCCTCTCTGTAAAAAATCAATAATATATATATAAAGAATCCTCACTCCCTCCTGTCTTCTCTTCCTCACTCTGCTCACTGCTATCAGCGTGACTAAACTTTCCAGAAAAGGCTCCGGTCACGCCCACTAATGCCCTCCCTGCAGCCAAATCCTTGGCACATTATTTCCAGTCCTCACTGTTTCACCTTTTACCAACTGTCAGCAGAGCTGCGTGGCCTGACCCTTCCTGAAACACCTCCTCCGGGATCTGCCTTGTGTGCGCTCCTCAGTCTCCTCTCCTGACCTCTACGAGTGGAGCGCCTGCGACTTTTCTCTTCTCTAGTCTCCCGTAGAGACTCACCCACTTCCCTGACGTGGAAAGCAACTGTAGCTCGCAAGTTTCTTTCAAGCTCCTTTGACATCCAGATTCCTACATCAGTCTGACATCTGCACGTAATGTCTTAGGATTCTTAAATTTAACACACTTCAATCTGAGCAGTAGAATGGCCCCTAATACATGCTTCCCCCTCACGCCCCACCTTTCCCACCTCAATAAATACCATCAGCAAACTCCAGATGTTGAGTTATAACCAGGAAACTATTCTTGATCCTCACTGTGCCTCAGTGCCCACCCCCCACATCCAGTCTATCTCTATATCCCTCCAACTATCTCTGAATCTACTTCCCTCATAGTCATTGCCTGCACCTTAGTGCTGGCTGCCATAATCTTTTGAATAAACTGCAATAACCTCAAATTGGTCTCTCCACTCGTCACCTTACCCTCTCCAATATATCTTTCACACGACAGCAAGATTAAGCTTTGAAAAACGTGAAGCAGACATGGAAAGTGTCTAAGGGAGTAAGGAGGAAAGGCAAAGGGTGAAGGAGAAGGAGAAGGGAAAAGCAAAATTAGGGACCAGAAAACCCGAAAGGGAACATAGTGAAACCGATGTGGAAGATGTGTGTGCCACATTTAGCTGAGAAATGTGTATCTCAGTTGGAGCGAGGGCCCAGGGTAACTGTCAGAGCTGGACTCCAGACCTCCTCAGAGGGCCAAAACCTGAGCTCCTTCCCGGTGTGGATCACGTGGGCCACGCCACGTGGTAAAATGCAGGTACGACTCACCTCTCGCTCCCAGCTTTCCCTCCGCAGTTTCTTCCATTGCTCTCTCTTGGCAAAGTAATCAGGATACATTGCCTTCTCAGAAGGATGCCAGTCATCTAAGCACCACTCAGGAACCTGTCAGGAGAGGAAATCATGGCATCATTACACACGATACATTTACACGCCCCTGACAGGTCCTGCACAACAGACAAAACTCAAGGTGCGCTTTTATTCCCCGCCAGTGTCAGACGGTTTGACCCCACGCACCGGGCAGCAGAAGAGCAGCAGGGAGGATGCCTCTGAGTAAAACAGCCTGGGTTTGAAAAGTAGCACCGGTCCGTTCAGACAGAACTGGCATCATTCCTTCCCTATGTGTCTTCTAAATATCCAGTGGGTTTATGTTCTTTGGAAGTACTATCTAGACTTTCTCAGAAATTCTAACCACCAATCCAGAATGGTTTACCTTAAGGTGCAAAAATGAGTTATTTGCCAAGTATTCTGCTTTGCCAAAAAGATACAACGGGCTGAATTTGGAAAGAAAAGTCTTGGCGTCACCTGAAGGAAATCCAGCTGCCTCCGTAAGGGTAACTCTGGACCTGGAGGAGCAAAGGCCCCCTCGCAGGGGCAGTCAGCGGCGTGCTGTCCTCACCCACCTTGTAACACTCGTATCTCTCATAGGAGGTGCCCCCGGGAGAGTCGGGGAAGATGTACGGCTGAGGGTGCTGATTGTGCCAGAATTCTTCCTCCGCCTCCCTCAGCAGCTGGGTGGCCCTCGCCATATCCTTTTCATTCTTATGTTCCTCGAACCGAGCTCTCATCAAACAAGCGAAGTACCGGTACCTGTCCCTTAAACCAAAAGGATTTGGGGAGATTAGACACGTTTTCTACTCGTCCAGGCCTTTTCCAATGTTTTCTCCAGAAGCTCTTCTCCTGGGGTGAGGTTTTGGGATTCTGATAAGGGAGTGGACGCACATTTCGGGTTGTCACCTCACCTTGTACTGCACCCGAGCCACGAAAGCAATCTACGTTTCAAGACTATGTTCTAAGTCTCGGGTGGATAGAGGAAAGAAGAAACTGTGTGGGAGGGGAAGAAGTATATGGGGTGTGGAGGCAGTAAAGGGACGGATGAAGCTAAAAGGAGGAAAGCTCATGGGAAGGCGGGAGAATGAGATGCATCGGGTGTAGACACCTGAGTTTTAATCCTGGCCGGGCCACTGCCCCGCTGTAATACTTGGAGCAAGTTACCCTCTCTGTCTCTAGTTCCTCATCTGCAAAATGAGGCTAAACAGTCCCTAACTCCCAGCGTTGTTGTGAAGGCCCAAGAAAACACTGCACACAGTATTATTAATAATGCGCATGTATTATTAGTATTAGGAACGGGGCCATACAGACAGCTATTAGCCAGCGAGCGCTGGAGGCGGTGACACCTGCGGCTTTAGGCACTTTCCTTTGTTTCACCGAGCCGTCTGCCAGCCTCCCTGCGGAAGGCTGCGTTCTTAACAGAAAACTGAGGCCCAGGGGCCTCGAACCCGGGTCTGTAGGCCGAGGGGCCGCCTTCCCGCTGCGTCCCCGAAGTCCTTGAGACGCCCGGCTCCCCGGGGAACCCGGCTCCGCAGGCCCCCGGGGCCGGCCCCCGGCCCCGCTCCCACCTGTGGACGCAGAAGGACTCCAGGTGGCGCAGCGCCCGCTTGTACAGCCGCAGCACCTTCTGCTGGTGCGTCAGGTAGGCCGCCGGCGCCGAGAACGCCATGACGGCCGCTCACCTTCAGCGGCCGCGGCGCCTCCCGGAAACGGAAGCCCGGCGGCCAAGGGGGCGGGGCGGAGGCCGGAAGGGCGGGGCGACCGCAGCCACTTCCGCTTCCGCCCAGGAGAGCCCGGCGCCGCAGCCATGAGTCGCTACACGTTCGTGGGTGAGACACCGATTTTCCTCGCCGCGGCCGCCGGGCCCGGGGGCAGCTCCGGCTTCTCCGAAGGCTCGCCGGGCGCCCGCGGCCCCTGGGTGCCGGGCCTGCCCGCCTCTCCGCGCGGCGCCGGCTTCAGGGCTGCGTGTGGGTGGGAGTCCGCGCGGGGCGGTTAGGATGTGTGCTCCTTCCAACGCGTGCGGCGTCAGTAAAAAGAGAAGAAACACAACTCCCGAACCACGGAGCAGGCGGTCACTGTGCTCCCCTCTTCCCCGCGTGCGCCGGCCCCACTCCCCTCCCCCGGGGAAGGAATAGTTACCACCAGGCCCCTGGGATAAGGTGACCAGGCGTCCCGATGTTTAACAATGTGTCCCGCGGTGTTCTAAAAAAAAAAAAGGTCCCGATTTTTGGAAAGAATCTTTTAAATATTTTGGACTTTTTAATTGTTAAACATCGGGACGTCTGGTCACCTTAGGAACCCCTGCGGGACAGGGACTGCAGTGTCCGGAGCTTAGTTTTCCCGTGTGCAGACCGGAGCTTCTTGGCTAGCCGTCTTGTTTGGTGTGTGGCGGTGTCTAGCTTGTTCTCTCATGTTCTGTATTTCCTGTAAGCGTGAAGGTATATCTAGAGGCAAAGCAAGTCTCAAACAGTTTTAAAATGCCCCGTTTGCTGCCCCTTTGCATGCCCAGATGATAGGGGACAGTGATAGGACATGATTCGCCGAGCCTACACAGTGAGGAAATGTGGTTTTCTTTGGGTTATTTTGTTTTTGAGAAGTAAAACTCATTAATACTGGGGGTCATTTTTAACAGTAAAGCCGGTACTGCTTTTAAAGCTAGCGAGATAAGAGAAATGGAAAAGAAACATTATTGAGCCGGATAAGGTGACATGCTACTAAACATGAGTCCCTCAAATTGTCCTCCCTCCTCAAATCAGAAATAGTCATTTTTTTTTTTCATTTTGCCTTTATTAAATTCCGGTCATTCTATCTCACTCCTCTCTCACTTTCTTAGTTTTTCAAGATGTTTATTATCTTTGGAGCTGGATAGAAATTGATTTTCATACTTTTCATAAAGTATTTCTTTAACTTTTTTTTTTTTTTTTTTTTTTTAGTTTATCAATACCAGACATACTTCTGATAGAAACTTTTCGATTTAAAAGATTTTGACCAAGCTAAATAGCATTTTGACTGTTTTTTATTTTTATTTTTTTTTACTTTTCTGTGGTTGCAGCATGAGTCTTCGTATAAACAGATTAATTTACACCTGGCAACTTAAGGACGCAGTCTTGGATCGGGAGGTTAATCACTTAAGGTGGGACGACAGCACGGGCAAAGCCCTAGAGCCCTGGTCGGCAAACTCATTATTCAACAGAGTCAAATATCAGCAGTACAATTGAAATTTCTTTTGGGAGCCAAATTTTTTAAACTTAAACTATGTAGGTAGGCACATTGTTATTAACTTAATTAGGGTACGTGGTATTTTGTGGAAGAGCCACACTCAAGGGGCCGAAGAGCCGCATGTGGGCCTAGAGGGTATTGTGGGTTCAGTTCCAGACCACCACAGTCATTTTCCGGGGGAGGGTCTTGCCTTCCATTTGTAAAACACACAGCATCTGTGGAGCTCAATCAAAGGAGGTGTGCCTGACTAGATAACGGTGGCTGAAATTCCATTTGTTGTTGGCATGCTACAGAATTTATACTGTGCTCAGTAATAATAATAACAGTCACATTTTATATTCACATTCATTTCCCAAATTCAGCCACATTTCATCCTTGAAAGGAGAAATCTTATGCTTACCTTACTAGTGCGGAAACAGGCTCCGAAGGCCGACTGACTTACCCACAGTCCTTCCGATAATTAGTCCTAATGCCAGATTTCTGACTCCGAAGCCCATTCTTTCCTTAACTGCAGTTTCTGCTAGTATCCTATTTCTTGGAACTTTCTTGGACATTGAATACTTTCAGATGACAATTTTGAACATTCTGTGGTTCCCTTTATATTGACTTGTTAACTATTTTTAATTTTTATTTATTGGTTCTATTGTTTTAAATAATTTTTATTGCCCTGCCAGTATGGCTCAATGGTTTGGTGTCGACCTATATTCGATTCCTGGTCAGAGCACATGCCCAGTAGAAGGTGTGTGGGAGACAGCCAGCCAGTGGTACTCTTCTTCTCCCTTACTCTCTGAAATCATTAAAAATATCTTTAAAACAAACTATTAAAATTGATTTTTAGAAAGAGAGAAAAGGAGAGGGGGAGAGAGGAACATCACTGTAAGAGCCAGATATCCATCAGCTGCTTCCTGCATGCCCGAAACCTGAGTATGGGCCCTGACTGGGAATCGAACTAGCAACCAACTTAGCCACACTGGCCAGGGCTGTAGTTACTGTGTTGATGTTTAGATACAAAGAGGAAGGGGAAGAGAGAGAGGTAGGGAAGGTATGAATTTGTTGCTTCACTTATTTATGCTTTCATTGGTTGATTCTTGTATGTGCCCTGACCTGGGATCAAACCCACAACCTTGGTGAACTGGGAGGATGCTCTAACCACCTGAGCTGCCTGGCCAGGGCGACTTGTTAATTGTCTTAATCACCCTGCAGGTGCTTGTTTGCTGGTGAGTAGGGTGCGTAGGTGGGTGGAGAGTGGGAGGCACAGAGGCCATCTCATATCAAGGAGAACTTATAGGAAACAGAAGTGAATTAGAAAAAAGATATTTGCCTCTGTAGGGGAGGAAATACTTCCTCCTACACTCTTAGGCTCAGTGGCTGGGCCTAAGAATTAAACACACATAAGACAGATTACTAGGAGAAAAGCATATGAATTTTATTTTTTCATATATATGGGAGTCTTCGAATGGAAAATGAAGACCCAAAGAAGCTGTTAGGCCCAAAAGCTTAAGTGAGGATGTGGTGAGACAGAGGGACTTAAATTGTGGAACAGTGACCAGGAAATATGCAGGGAAGGGAATAGAAGATAAGGGTTATTTTGGGTTTGTTTGAGTAGTTACACTATGACTTTGACTTGCAGTCTCTGGTGTTAAGAATGTCCTCTTCCTGGTATAGGAAGGGCACCTTTCTTATGGGAAACTATGACCTTCTTTTAGCTGGAAAGGGGGAGATGAGAAAAACTTTTCCGCACCTGCTATTTCTCAGGTGCCTTCAGCTCAAAAAACCCCAAATGGCAAAGCTGCGTATTTTGGGGTGGCATGTTTTGAATGCATTCGTCAAACTTAACTAAGGTAATGGAGCCTATTCATCAAAGCATAGAAAGCAGCTCTAATTACAGGCTGAGGAATACACCTCAGACAAACCATATGTCAGAAAGAAAAAAGCAAGGGAGAGGTAGAGATAGAATGATGAGAGAGACTCCCCCAACTGGGGACTGAGCCCGCAACCCGGGCACGTGCTCATTACCGGAATTGAACCAGGGACCATTCAGTCCGCAGGCTGACGCTCTATCCACTGAGCCAAAACCGGTAGGGCTCACAGGAGATTCTTGCAGAAAAGGGAAGAAACTGGTGGCTGTGCAGTATATCCCTACAGCCCATTGCTCTCTTGGGTCCAAAGCTGAATGTAGATCTTTGAAGTGTGCTGAGACGTAGGGCCTGGGAGACTCCCATTGGGAAGAGGTGGGCTGTAGGGGAATGGGATCGCCTGGAATTGGCCTCAGTGTAAGCATTGGAAAAGGAGTTATCAGCTGTGCTCTTAGGGTTGAGATAAGGACTTGGAAATTGGAAATGCTTCATAATTGAGCCTCCAAGCTAATCTTTAATTCACTTTTAAAATTACGGTAGTATCAGAAAGTATACTTGTTAAACTTGCTTGGTTTGGGTTTCATTTGTTTTTCATTTCGTTTCTGGAGAAAGATTGCTTTGGACGAATTCTAATTTCTCTGCTGCACAAAGGGGAAATGCCTGAGAGATGCCGGAGGGCTCCGTGCTCTTACTGAGCATCTGGTGCATGCCCCTCCCAGGGCTTTCTTTCCCACTCTGCCCCTTCCCTGTCTTATTCCTGTCCTCATGGAAAGAAAGTAGGTGCTGATTTCTGTGATCTAGGCATCCTCAATGAATCTGTGTTTTATAATCATCAGTATTTGTGTGTTAACAGTCTTTTAATAGTACCTGTTGTGAATTCATCTCCAACCCTCCACTGACCTACTTGCACATCTTTGAAGTTTTCTGCATTGTGCTTTTCTCTTGTTGTGGAATACTCTCTCCATGTCTCTTGAATTACCCAAACTCCCTTTCATCTTGCAAGGTCTGTTTTAACGTTGAAGCAGCAGAGCACAATGAGGGTCAGCTTGGCAGAAGCAGAGTGAGAATATACGAGAGAAGCTGGAACTCAGCAAAAATGAGTAGGGGTCTATTGATGGGCAGCTGTCTCTCCACAAATTAGGAGAGACAGCTGCCCATCAATAGACCTAGTGCTAAAAGCTCAAGGGCATGTATTGTAAATAAGGTGACATTGGTATTGTCCACTCCATCACAATCTGCCTTCATGTCCTGTTCTTCCCGTGCTCTCTTGTGCTCTGCAGCAGGATTTATCAGGAAGAGCACTTGATGGTCGGATCGGATGAGGATTTGTTGTGAGAGGCTATCCTGTCTGCCTTGTAGATTATTTAGCAGCATCCCTGGCCTGAAGACTAGATGCTACCCTGTTTCCCCGAAAAGAAGACAATGTCTTATATTAATTTTTTTCTCCTGAAGTTGCGCTAGGTCTTATTTTCAGGGGATGTCTTATCTTTCCATGTTCTAGGTCTTATTTTCGGAGAATGTCTTATTTTCGGGGAAACACGGTAGCAGCACTCTCCCGTTTGTGACAGCTAGAAATGAATACAGACATTGCTAA